GCTCTTAGGTTTCTTTAGACTCGACTCTTGATTAACTGCTCCACGTCATCTTCCGGACTCATTGACTCAAGAGTGATCGTATTGGACCAAGGATATTCCCTTGTTGCTCGAATGGATCACCCTGATCCATTCGTCTGTCAAGGATCGTCTGTCAATCAAAGACGGTGGCGGAGGGACCCCTCTCTTCAGAGTGAAGTGCATGGAGGTCACCTGCATTCAGGTGATAACCAAATCGTTGATAACCTTTCCGAAAAGAAAACTCACTCTGGTCACACCCCGTTTATGGCCCCTTAGCTCGCCATAGGGACCTAAGGGTACCAACGCACGCGAACTTGAAAATAGCCAAATCCAAAGTACTGTCGCCTAACTTTATCAAATTAGGGGTTGAATTGGTCTCGTGCCCGGGAACACTCGAGGCAATAAACAAGGAGTTTTCTAAAAGTATACAATGACTACACCGCGAAAATAGAAATTTACAATCGTCGAATTGGTCTGGCACTTGTGCGGACTCGACCGTTAGAAAACCGTAACGGAGTCTTCGAGAGCTGCTTTTGTTCCTTGATGAAACACTTGTCCGTCCGAAATACTCTTCGCATTTTCTCACAATCATGCACCCACACCGTTCCATTTTCACAGAAACGAAACTTAATCTGTTTTGACAGAGCGTATTTATTATGGACTTAATTTTTACCTACGCAAACTTTCATCATTTTAAAGCGATCTACGTTTCCTTCTTGTTTTGTAACAACTTTCATCAACCTTTAATAGCTTATTTCTAGATTTCAACAAACCATTTACGTACCTTATAACACGAATATAACTATAAATTTATTCCACAATGAGAGTGCGCAGTAAACTCAAATATGCCAGCCCCGATTTTAATACCTGTAACAGAAGAGCTTTGATTATAACACGAATTGTATAATTTAAGGTAATGAATGAGTAGATAGATGTGTATTATTTACGCTACAGAAGCTGGCTAAAGATAATTCGACCAGCTTTCCGGCTGTTAATTTTAAAGAAGAGTTCGAAATGACGAACATCAATATTAGACCCAATGCTTTCTTGTCAGGTAGAAGATACCAATTGATCATATAAGCCGATTCAGCGATACTTCTACACTATGATATCAAAGGAAAGATAAATATTTTATATTCTCCCTAAGTAGAGCGATTTGTGTAATGCAATTTTGCAAGTAGGTAAAATACCTCTTCCAAAAAATAAAATTTCACCAATGTAACACAAAATGAAAATATTGAAAATAAAGGATATAAGCAACGCACAATAGGTCACTGTCCCTATAGTTTCACTTTGCTCCCATTCCTAGAAAACTGAGAGGAAAAAGTGTTAAATATTAATTTTGTTGTTGTAATAATTGGATTAGTATCGTGTTTTCACCGTCAGTAAATAATATCCTAGGAAGCATATATTCATCGTGCAGCCTACAAATTCAACGAAGCATATCTCATTTAGAAGTCTTTCGATTTGAGCTATAAAACTGTAAATCCCTTGTCATTATCAATCATTACGATATAATACTTTCACATAATTTATATCATTTAGATAATCATCGTAACCTGTACCTTAGTATGTGTAAATGGTGTTCCACGATATCGCCCAATCGTTGTTCATACGTACTCGTGTCTTTTTCTTCTGTCTTTCCGTCGATTAGCTTGTCCAATTTCGATATAAGAATTTTAAACTGTCCACAGGCATGCATGACGAATACAGCAGCCAAGCTACAAGCGCTAATAGTGACAGAATATATCACAAAGCCAGCCAAGCACTGCATCAATTGCACGATTTCAAACGAGGGGCTAGTGCGTGGATCGAGGAGACCACGGTAGATCGGGAACGCTTGGGCTCTCACAGTCTCGTTGTCGATGATCACTGTGCGCTTTGAGCACAACGGCATCACGGTGGTATAGAAAAATCCACCGGAATACATAAAACCAGCACACAAGATCGCCAAAGATCGTCCAATTCTAGCACTCTCCTTCATTAAATCTCTCTCTCCTTGGCGCTGTTGCGAACAAAGACGAATCCAGTCATTGCGTATGTTCTCGATGCACTTGCCAATCATGTCTCCACGCGAGACCAAAATGTAATACTTGATTGCTGCCATCACGCAGAAACTGAGCGGACCGATCATTTTGATTTTAGTGTCGAGATCACCCGTTTTGTCGAGCAGAGTGCACAGTGCGCAAGGAATCAGAAGGAAACCTATTAAGAAGCAGCTAATTAACACGAGTATAATGGAATTCATCTTTTCCATCGTGCTTAAGCATAGAGCACGTGGCCAGATGCCGACTGATTTAAGCAACCAACGATTTATCTGGACACTGTACATCCAATCTTGGTCCCATGATTCGGCTGAAAAATTGGTAAGTGCGATCATGATGATACTAACCAGTAGAAAGTGCACGCTGAACTGAAGGTGAGGTAAACGGTAATACATTGATTACTGACGCTCTCGGTATCGCGCATGTGCTACCTCTGCTGTCTTGGTTTGAATAAATAAAATTCGTGCAACTTGTAGCCAGTGCGGTTGAAGTCTCCGCCTAACCACCAGTTGATTCTGTTCTCGGAAAAGTGAGGCATGTGCATACGATAAATGTATTACAGCAAATATGTAATACAGTGAAATTTTAATAAACGTTTTGACTGCTCGTTTAAGTATAAGGAACACTTAGTTGAAAAAAATGAACAATTGCCTTGAAATATAAATTAATTTGAAATTATAAATTTATTCGAAGGTGGAGGACGAGAGGTTTTTAGAGAACAGAGCACTATGTTTCCTGAGTAGAACTTTACTAATGTGCGGGGTGAGGGAGGGGGGGGGGGGGCAGATGCGGGAAACTGGAGGCTACCTTTTTGGGAGGGACCCGTGTTGTTAGAAATGCGCAGGCGGATTGACTCTTTTTCCCTGTTCGTTAGACGTCGCAGTGGTCCGCGCGTCCGCGTGTCATGGGGCCCTGGTTGCAAAGACATAAACCAGGTCCCCATTGACCCGAAACCCTCGATGTCGCGAAAGAGTCGAAAATATATACAAAGGACCTTCGCTTTCCGCATCTGGGATGTGTCCCTACATATTACGCTATAATTTCTGTTATCTCTTGTCAGCAACAATGCATTCACGGATATTGTTGAATCATTTTTCATCAGGCGCATTTTCTACTTTGCCTATTCCACATGATGTAAACGGTACAGACATGTAAGACATGAAAGGAACGATTTTTGTCACATTAATATCATACATATTTGCATAAATCCGAAAAGAATGCAATTTATTGTCGACTCGTATGTTGTGCACATGTACAGTTTACGCCATTGTTACTTGACGTAGCATATTTAAGTATGCGAACACTGTTTTTACTATCTGGAATTTCAAATGACATCATGAATTGTTTGAAAAACTAACGATCCTTTTTTCAGCAACAGAAATAATAAAACGTACATTACCGAAGGTGTAGACAGACAATGTAATCAATTTTCCGGCAGTAATTTTAATTTCCATGCTAGATCGTGAAATGATCATAACGAGATTCAAGATCTCTTTGTCAGGCAATTGGTACCAATTCGTCATGTAAACTATATCACCAACTTTCTTACACTGTCAGTAATTCGGCCACAGTTAATTAATTATAATACCAGATTATGGCATTGTATGTTTATTACCTGTTCTGATAGTAATTCACCGATGTAACATACTAAAAATATGTTAAAAGTCATAGATACAGCTACCAAAGCATATGTAACCAAATTTTGAATATTATGTTCAGACCATTCCTAGGGAAAAATAAACGTTTCCAATTAGATCGATCACAGATGATTAGATTATAGAATATATGCTTTTGCCACAAGTGATGAACTTATCGGAATAACTTGAAATAAATGGGTATCTACAATAATTCGACTGTACAATTACGTGATTTACGGAAAATTTTTTGGGTTACGAATAAGAAACTCGTCAACGTGATATCGGATAAATTACATTTAACGTAAGACACGCACACGAACAAGCAAACGTTCAAATTTAATTAATAAATTTGCCAATAATTCCGATTAATCGCTAAAATAAGTTATTCAGATATTATAGGGAGCAATAGCAAAAGCTTTACGTTATACAATAATAATCTCATATACAGTAGAAAATATATTATAAATATAGCTATTGTGTTTGAACTCTTGTAGAAGCAATTTTTCTTTTGCTTAATAGACACTTAAAATTGTCATGTACAGGTTGTAATGTTCAGCATACCGCAAGCATGTAATAGCTAGGCATGCACATACCCAGCATACACTTGAACGTTTCCATGAAGCATATTCCACTCATCATATGTTCAATGTGTTCTACGAGACTAGAATTAACGAGTTATCAGACAAAGTCAATAAAACATCGAATAATAAAAATAAATGTTACTTGAGGATCCTCAGATGATGATCAACAATTACGCTTATTTTGTGTGTGTGGCTATCCCTCTCTTTATCTGACTGATTCACAAATTCATTGATCCAATTTGTCACCACATTTAGTTGACCAAGCGCATGGCTAGTAACAACAGTAGCAACACTGAAGGCGCCGAGTGCGCTCGAAGTGACGATAAATCCTGAGAGAAATTGTGAGCCCAGAATAATGCCGTATGTTGGATTAGTATCAGTCTGAATTTTATAAGGTGGGCAAGGTAGTCTATATATGCTTATGGTTTCGTTGCCGACTTTAGTGGTATGTTTCAAAGCACCCAATACAATGCAAGTAGAAACGATGCCACTATGCACAAAAGCTGCAGTGAAAGCCGCGATAGATCGGCCAATTTTGGCATTCTTCAACATTATTCTCTGATCTGTGATTCTCGTTATTATTTCCCAATCGGCCTGTATGTGTTCTATGCAACGACGTATTTCATCTTTGCGTAATAATAATGCAGCATAGTTAAATACTCCAACAATCCAATGGGATAGTGGACCAAATGCTTTCAGTTTAAGGTAAAGATCTTCTTTTTCTAGGATGAGGCGAAGTAGAGCAGGAATTATAGTGAACAATGAGATGCACCAACAGATGATAATTGAAATTTGTGAAAGAATTTTTTCATGTCTCGTAGTAGAGGATGATTCGGGCCACGCGCCTATTGGTTTCAAGAACCATCGGTTCAACTGTATGCTGTATTCGCTGAGACTACCAAATTTTTTCGTAACTTCTGCAAGCTCGTCTGCCATCGTGTTCACTCAACAATGTCGCGGAGACAACTGAGTAGTGAGCACGATGCGTTACTCAGCGCTTGCGCGTATTGCGTGAAAGTATACTTCGCGCCGATCGATTAAGAAAAACAGTCACTTTAAATTTTAGCAACGAGTAATGTATGTATATGTACGTTTCAGGTTGCAGAAAGTAGTGGACTCAATTAGACAACGTACGTGCGACGAATCATTATTAAATGCTGATTATTTTCTCGCGACGTTGATCATACAGGTTAACGAAATAAACGTTCCAATTGCTCGTTTCAGTATAAAAAACGCTTAATTAAAAAATGAACAATTGTCTTGGAAGGTTAATTACTTTGAAGTTATAAAGCGATTGCTCTATAATTCCTTGTCATTACCATTGCATTCACGAACATTGTTGAATCATTTTTCATTAGGCGCATTTTCTACTTTGCGTATTCTAATACATCTTACAAAAGGTACAGACGTGTAAGGCATGAAAGGAACGATTCTTCTAATATCAACGTTACACATATTTGTGTAAATCCTAAAGCAATGAAATTTATTATTGACATATATTGAGTACATTTTCAGTTTACATCATTGTTGTTTGTCGTAGGATATTTAAGTATGCGAAAACTGATTTGACTATCTGTAATTGCACATGACGATTTAAATCTTTCTGAGTTTCAATAACTTTTGTTTTAGTTGGAGAACAGAGGGAACATACATTACCGAAAGTGTACACAGACATGGTGACCAACTTTCCGGCCGTGATCTTGACCTCCTTGCTTGATCGTGAAATAATCATTATGAGATTAAGAATGTCTTTATCAGGCAATTCGTACCAATTTGTCATGTAAACTACGTCACCAACTTTCTTGCACTGTTAGCAATTCGATCGGCAAGTGTTAATCATAGCGTTAATTACTTATGCTACAGTATCAAAATACATCGCTCGTCACCTGCTCTGTTAGTATTTCACCAATGTAACATACTAAGAAGATGTTAAATGTCATAGATAGAAATATCATACTATATGCCATCAAGTTCTGAATGTTATGGTCAGACCATTCCTATGAGTAATAAACAAAACACTGTCATCTATGTAATTCATCTTAATGTTCTTTTTATATTTTGCTTTGTGATATTTGAACAACATTGCACACAAATACATTCGTTGCTTGTACAGGTATGACATATTTCTGTTGCAAGAAGTACTACTGCGAAAACAGCTAGAAGTAAGTACTTAGATACGAATAGAAAATTCAACATCTTAATGCGAGGCAAGTTATTTTATAATACACCAAAGATAGTTATAGGTCTACGGAGAAAATTTCAAGTCTCTGGACAAGTATATCCAAATTTATTAAATGATTATCGTGTAAAAAATATAATTCCATGATTATCGATTGCAATCGTTAAAGTTATTTTATACCGTTTTTAATATAATTATATCGTTTTCTCAAAAGCTCAATGGACCTATAAAATTGTCACATACACTTTTTAATACATTTAGCATACCGCGAGAATCAAATAGCTAGGCATGCACATACCCAGCGTACACTTGAACGTTTCCATCATGCATATTAGACACAGCATATGCTCGATGCGGGCTATGAAACTGCAGATGACGTGTAATTAGAAAAATTCCCTAAAACGTAAGAATAAAATGATGAGAATTACCGTTACCTTAAAATTCGTAGATGATGTTCAACGATTACATCTATCTCGTTAACGCAGCTGTCCTTGGACTGATTTCTTGGGTAATTTACGAATTCGTTAATCCACATGTTTATGACATTCAATTGCCCAAGGGCATGATTAGCAAACGTGGCGTTAAGGCTAAACGCAGCGACAGCGCTTGAACTGACGATAAATCCTGACAGAAATTGCGTAGCGAGGACGATACTGTGTGTCGGATTAGTATAAATAGGTAGTTTGTAGGGCGGACAAGGGACAGAATATACAGCCACGGTTTCGTTGCCGATTTTAACAGACTGTTTAAATATTCCCAGCATCACGCAGTAGCAGAAAACGCCACCTTGCATGAAGCCCGCGCAGAAACCGGTAATATAGCGGCCCACTTTCGCGTACCTCAACATCACTTGTTGGTCCTTCGGCCTTGCTACGATTTTCCAGTCGGCTTGTACGTGTTCTATGCAAGAACGTATATCATTTTTATGTAATAGTAAGACAACGTAATTGATACCTCCGATAAGCCAGTGACTTATAGGTCCAAGCATTTTTAATTTTAGATAGATATCTTCGTCTTCGAAGATAATACGGAGTATTGAAGGGATTATGGTAAATAATGAGAAGCATGAACAAATGACAACTAAAATTTTCGACATGATCTTTTCTCTCGCAGTGGAAGATGACGATGACCATGCGCCAATCGGTTTTAAAATCCATCGATTCAACTGTATGCTGTATTCGCTAAGGCTACCAAATTTTTTCGCGACTGCAACTAGCTCGTCTGTCATCGTGTTCTCTCAGCAATGTCGCGAAAACAACTGATTCGGGAGTACCTTATCAAGCGCTTGCGCGTATTACGCACTACATGAAAGTATACTTCGCGCCGATCGATTGAGCAAGTCAGTCAGTCTAACTTTGAGCAACGACTAATGCATCTACATGTACGTTCAAAGTTGCAGTGACGAGGATTAATTTACAATTTGAGGAAAAAAATGTAGTTACTTCGAAGTTGTTTGACAATTCATATTTCTTCATATTCATATTCATATGCCATTCTTCTGATTGTCATACTGGAAGATAAAGCTGGCCATGCAGCAATTGGTTTTAATATCCATCGGTCCAACTGTATCCTGTATTCACTGGGGCTAATGAAACAACTGTATTAAGAAGTGAGTGTATTGCGTTATCCATTACCAGCAACGGCAAATTCGTTTGTGCCCGTATTGGATTAGGGGCTGTAAACGACACAAAACCCTTCATCTTATATTTACACTATTACGATGCGTGTTTTGCTTGAGGAAAGCCATGTCTTTTTGTTATTTTTAGTCCCAAGTTTGAGTGCTTTTATTTTGTATTTATTTTGTATTTATTTTACAGGTACCTTCGTGAGAAGACTGAGGATAGCACGATGGAAATGGATTTATTTCCTTCCAAGGACGTTGAGCGAGAATTATCATTGAACTTAATCGTTTCTCGAGTAAGTAAAATTATTTAACTGTATTTTTGTGAAACGTGTATGAAAAATTATAATATAAATATCATTTTCTCCAATGTTAAATTTTATTAATATCCGTTGCATTTGGAAAAACAGAAGCAATTAAATTCAATACTAATCATCTCGGCACATATACGTATATACTTCTCGACAATCAAACGAATGGATCATCGTACTCGTGGCTTTGTACGTCATAGTGAGGGCGTATAAAAGGTAAAAACGATACTTCTCGTATTATGAATTTTACACAAATTCTTCTAAACTGTAAACCTCTGAATTTTATTATTAGAATACGTATTTGATACACGTGCAGTTTACATTACTTGACGTAACATATTTAAGTATGCAAAAACTGTTTTTACTGCCTGAAATTGTACATAATTCCGTGAATATTTCGAGTAATATTAATATCTTTCTAAGTAAGCGAATTAAATGAACGTACATTACCGAAAGTGAGCACAGACATGGTTATCAATTTCCCAGAAGTCAGTTTAACTTCCGTGCCAGAGCGTAAAATGATCATCATCAGATTAAGGATATCTTTATCCGGCAACTGATACCAATTTGTCATATAAATCACGTCACCAACTTTCTTACACTTTTAGCAAGTTAGCATATGAGTATTGATCGTAATTGCATTTGAGGGTTACTTTGTTGCGTGTTCATTACCTGTTTAGTTAGTATTTCACCAGTGTAACATAGCAAAAAGATGTTGAATGTCATAGATATAAATATTATGGTATATTTCACTGTATTCGGAATATTATGTTCCGACCATTCCTAAAACAAAAAGTAATAAACATTTTTAGTCAGATCGGTACTTCGTGACATTTACATTAATGTCGCGTTATATATATATATTTGTGTATATATATATATATGCTTTCGTTAAAATACACTTAGTAAGTCAATTGGAAAAATACACAATTGCAGTTATAGGTCTACATAGCGAAATACAAGTTTCCAATACACATATTCAAATTTAATGGATATATACATTATGATTAACGAATGAAAGAATCAACTTAATTCTATTTAGAGGTTTTGTTTTTGCTCGGTAGACTTATAAAATTATCATACACAGCTTTTAATATTTCCAGCGTACCGCAAGGATCAAATAGCAAGGTAAGCACATACCCAGCATAGATTTAAACATTTCCAGAAGGTAGATTTGATTCATCATACGTTCAATGCGTGATATAAGACTGTAGTTAACGCGTGGTTAGAACAATTTTCTGAAATATCAGAACAGAAATTTATAAATAAACGTTACCTTAAAATTCGCGAATGATGTTCAACGATTACACCTATTACATTAATATTGGTATTTTTATTATGATTTGAAGTCTGATTTACGAATTCGCTGATCCACGTCATCATCACGTTTAATTGGCCAAAAGCATGGCTTGTTAAAGTGGCAACCAAAGTAAAGAAACCAGATGCGTTTGCAGATAGAATAATCGCTGATAGAAACTGGGTGGTAAAGATTATACTGTGCGTTGGATTGGTATGAATTGGGAGTTTATAAACTGGACAAGGTAGAGAATATGTGATTATAGTCTCATTTCTCACTTTCATGGTCTGTTTGAAGGTACCTGATATAATACAGAAACCAAGAATGGCACCGAATGTAAATTCCGCGCAAATACTGGCAATATAGCGACCAAGTTTCGCTGCTTTGAACATGACCCGTTGATCCTTCACTCTCGTTATGATTTTCCAGTCAGCTCGTACATGCTCTATGCAAAAGCATATGTCGTCTTTATGTAGCAATAATATAACGTAATTGAAAGTCCCGGTACACCAGAATATTACTGGACCAATCGCTTTTAATTTTATGTATATATCTTCTTTTTCGAGGATCATGTGAAGTAAGCCAGAGATCATTGTGAACAACAAAATACACCAACAGATAATAATTACAATTTGCGTCACAATCTTTTCTTTCCTTGTAGCGGAAGATGAGGTAGGCCAGGCGCCTATTGGCTTCAAAATCCATCGATTTAATCGTATGTAGTATTCACTGAGACTACCAAATTTTTCCACCATTGTTACAAGCTCGTCTGTCATGTTTTCTTATCAAGGTCGCGGAAACAATTGAACTGTAGATTCGGTGCTCTGTGTTTTCCAACGTTTGCGCATAATTCTTCAATGGATGTGCGTCGATCGATTTGTCTACAAACTTTCTCAGGTTATTAGCAACAGCAAATGCACCTCTCTGCATTTTAAATCACTGACAATAATAATACGAACTGGACAATCTTTTCTTAGTACTGTGAAGCTTACGAGATAGACACTTGTAATACCTGAATTACAATTTGGAAGCATGGTATGTACCGTATAAGGTAGTGTCGTATCAGCAATTATTGAATTAGGGTAAATATATTTTCATGTAACAGGCGTTCCAACTTTTTCCGATAAAGAATGAATGAACAAAAGCAACTGGATTTCAAACTGTTATAACGGGGCATGTCATATATGCATTTTCACGCGCAAATACACACACGCAAGCATGCGTACAATTTTCATTGTCATAACACATATTCATAAAAGGTGGAACATTCGACTTTTCACAAATTTCTTTCCATTGAAAAAACTGTAAAATTTATTACGAAGATACATAATCGGTACAAGTGCAGTTTACATTATTGTCGTTTGACGCAGCATGTTTAAATATGTAAAAACGGTTTTTACTACCTGCAATTGCAAATGACGTTATGAACCTTAATGTCTACTGGTAATATTTCTTTCATGCAGGCGAAATGAAGATACGTACATTACCAAAGGTGTAGACAGACGTGTTAATCAATTTTCCGGCAGTTATTTTAACCTCCACGCCGGAACGTGAAATAATCATGATCAGATTAAGGATATCTTTCTCAGGCAACTGGTACCATTTCGTCGTGTAAATTATGTCACCAATCTTTTTGCACTGTCAGCAATGATAACGACTCATGAGTGTCAATGATACCGTGCATTAACCCTTTGCACTCGAGAGGTGACTTTTAGTCACCATTTCATAAAATTTGGAAGATCTATATTAATTAATATATCAAATTAAATGTAACGAAACAGTGTGCGACGTATTGAAGTCAAATAATTATACAATTCTCTATTTACTGCTTAAAAAAGTATCGTCAGTTTTTTAGTAGAGAATCTTTCAATTCCTACTCTTCTTTAGCCAAGAAATCGTCGAGTGCAAAGGATTAATTATTACAAGCTTACGATATTGTACGTTCAGTACCTTTTCAGTTATCGTTTCGCCAATATAACATACTAAAAATATGTTGGAAATCATAGATACAAGTATCATAATGTACACAACCGCGTTCTGAACGTTTACGTTAGGCCACTCCTAAGACGAAACAAGCATTTCCAATTAGATCTGTTACATATATTTCTAGATCAATCTTAAGTCTGTTACTTCAATATACTTTTGTTAGAATTAATATACTCGTTAAAGCAACTTTAAATAGTATATCCTGTAAGAATATATAAGATTAGGCGAGCTCCGGTTACCGATAAGGCGGCGTGAGCGAGGAGCACGTAGCAGTGATAACCGGAGTCTCAAATCGAAGCGACGATCCGCTTGATCCGCGATCAATGAACAAAGAAGGCTCGTCCTTAAAAGGGTAGGTCGAGAAGCGTGCGGGGACAGTGCTTAGACAGTTCTTTGAGAGGAGTTATTGAGAGACAGTTTACGGGAAAGACGAGAGCTCGTTATTACTCATAACGAAGAGAAAAATATCGAATCGGCCACCGAGAGTTAGACTCGTGACTTAGCCCTCCCGTAGTAAACACCTTAAAATCAATACATAATAATATTTATACTTTTCGCTATAACAATAATAATTGCTTGGTTCTAAAGTACTCGCTACTAGTCATATTAATGGAAATTATGTGAATAAAAGGTATGGATCTACGGAGCAGAAGCAAAAAGTTAATAAACGTATATTTAATCATTAACGTACGGATCATGTTGTTCGATTTGCAACTTAATTCGTCGAGAAATCGTTTTCCCTGCTCGGTAGATGTAAAAAATTATCATACACACTTTTTAATACGTTTAGCGTACCACTAGCACGTAATAGCCAGGCAAGCACATACCCACCATACATTTTAATATTTCCATGAAGCACGTCGTAGTCATCGTACGTTCAATACGTGCTATCAAACTGCAAATATATTATTAAAATCGGTGAAATATTAAAAGGAAAGTATGTGAGAAGAGTCTTTATTTGGACAGCGCCACCCTGCATAAAGATCTATACTGCTTCGAGGAAGCAGTCAGCCTATCAGGCTCCGAAGCAGGACCGAGTGACGCAATGGGTCCTCATAGAGCCTATAAAACCCTGGCTCAAGGGTTTAACATAACACTCTATCGGTAATTCACCATCACGCATCTCGCCGGACTCAAGCCTCCGCGCATTTGTACAGAATAAAATATAATTTAAGTTTAAAGTCAAATCTTTATAAACCTCGATCGTTTTACCACAAGTATAAAAATAAATATTACCTAAGAATTCTCAAATGATGTTCAACAATTACGCTTATTCTGTTAATACAGTCATTTTTGTTCCAACCTCTTGGTCGATTTACAAATTCGTTGATCCATACCGTCATCACGTTCAATTGTCCTACAGCATGGCTGGAGAAGGTGATAGCAAGACTAAAAGCAGCAGTGGCACTTGAACTCGCGACAAATCCCGATAAAAATTGGATAATGAAGATGATAGTGTGTGTCAAGTTGGTATCAACTGGGATTTTATAGACTGGACAAGGTAAAGCGTGTTTGCTTATGGTCTCGTTGCCAATTTCGATGATTTCTTTGGTCGATCCTGCTACGATACAGTAGCAGAAAACGCCACCTTGCAGAAAGCCCGCGGAGAGACTAGCAACGTAGCGACCGAGCTTTGCGTGCTTTAACATCACTAGTTGATTTTCCGGCCGCGTTATGATAGTCCAATCGGTTTTTACGTGTTTTATGCAATAACGAATATCATCTTTACGTAAGAGCAGAACAGCATAGTTGTACCCTCCGACGAACCAATGGCTTAAAGGACCAAGCGTCTTCAGTTTACGATAAGCATTTTCCTTTTCAAGGATGATGCGAAGTAAATTGGGAATTATGGTGAATAATGAAAAGCACCAACAAATGACAACTAAAATTTGCGATACGATCTTTTCAGTCCTCGTAGCAGAAGATGAGACGGGCCAAACGCCTATTGATTTTAAAATCCATCGATTCAACTGTTTGCTGTATTCGCTGAGGTTGCGAAACTTTTCTTTGACTGCTAAAAGTTCGTTTTTCATCGTCTGCCCTCAACAACGTTGCGGAAACGACTGACTTGAGTCTTCTGTATGCCGCGTAACCCAACCCTTTCGGTACTACCGTCGCCTGTAGGCGGCATCCACGGATGCTATCACCGCACCGCCTAAAATCGGCAGTTATGGCAGGTTATGTGGATATGATTACTCTCTATAGTACGCATTACTTTACTGTCTTCTGTTTAAAATTCTGGCTGCTCGAATTATTCCATTATATATGTTAATCCGTGTGTTGGAAGAATTTATTTCAATGAATTTTTTGATGAAGAATTATTTGAATTTGTTATTTATTATGTTGTACTGTTAGTTTTGTCATTTATTATATTATACTATTCGTTTTGTTATTTACTATGTTATACTATTAGTTTTATTATTTATTTTAATTTTGTGATATTGGAACAAATTATTTATATCAATGCCATTTACTTTAATTAATATACTGTGAAGAAATAAATATGATTTTAAAACGTTAAGCGTCAAGCCTGTTTTGTTTCCCTTTCCGTCTGGTCCGCGAAATAAGATTCTGTCAAAATCTGCTTTCGGCCGAGGATTGATTTAGGTTGTCGCGCTTTCGCGACTGACGCTGCCGTACAGCACAGCCGCTCCTACGGAAAACTTGCCCGGCCCACGAACATACTACCGCGGCCAACTGCTTTATATCGAAAGGGTTTTAAATGACGTGCACCGATCGATTCGTTCATTCAGTTGCTGTGACTATTAGCAGCGACAAGTGCACCTATCCCCGCCATTTGTATTTCTCAATTGTGCTTGCATCGAGTCTACAATGTGCCAAAAATAGAGCAATAAAGATTAAATTTGATTTCTTCAGGATCGCGAAATGCTCGGTAGAAGTATTTCCAATGGTTTGGAACTTGTGTATATCGGTTCAATAGCAGGAGTTAGCGAGGAAATGTAAGAATAATCTGTTCAGATTAGCTTACAAAAGCTGCAATATGCTACACCGATGTTCATAGATATGTTGACATTAATTGTTCGTGTTATTTTTGATTTTTGATTTTTGATTTTCAGTTATTAGTCTAGTCCTTTAGTTTGTACTTTACTCCTAAGTCTCTTTTAGCTCGTAATAAATATATGTAGGAATTGTTTGGTGGCAGCAAAATATATGTAGGAATTGATAGGTGGTAGATAATAAAAATATGATATATTGTGAGCTAATCTAAGACCTATTCTAGACGCTACGACCTTTCACACTGATTATCGCTCAATGAACTCTTCCCAAAGAGCTGCTCCCAATGAACTGTGTCCTCAGAACTCCATCTTCAGAATTGCTCGTTTCATGCCCATGCACCTTTATGCGCTCGAGGTCCGGGGTTAGTCCTTGCACTCTTCTTTCATACTCTCTTTCTCAATCACGCTTTTCTTACGCACTCCTCACAGCCTTGCCCTCAGTGGATCACGTAGTCCAAACATTCAGACGCATTCCTAAACTTCCACTCTTCATATGCAATCGATACTTCCATAAACATCCCGTCCACACGATCCTTGCGCGCGTTCACTCATTTTTCCGCACGCACTCGCCAAACCCAAAACCGCTGTTTATTATCCTCTATTTTCAGGGAAGGGCCCAAGCATTCCCACGCGCTTTACAGTCATACCTAGACAAAAGATACTGTCACAGACGGTGACCTCATGCCCTAATCACGGCTCGCTCACCATGCCTACATATATATTGCAATAAAATGCCAATCAAAAGTATCTCTACATAAATACGCTAAAAAGCTATATTTATATATCGTTTATGTTGAAAATAAGATACGTCTTAACGTATCGAATATAGAAAAATTAATCTGTCAAGAGAAATAGATATATCTTTAAATTGTGCGCCGAAGAGGTTCCGGGAACGCGTCAAGTGTTTATTTCACACGTTAGATAAGAATTAGGGGACCAGGACGAGCTGCAATCGCATACCCTTTTTCTTCACTCTAGTTTTCACTCTCTACGCGAACAGTCAGAATATTTGAGATATACCTTCCTTAGGAGAGAATAAAGATAATTATAAAATACAGATAGTTATTTCTTTTTACAGATAATTCTAACAGTTTATTGCAGGAAAGATTCTAATGAAACAGTGTCTTTGCTCTTGGGTAACTCTTTTATTCTCTCAGTAAACTGGTCGGCTAGTGCCCCAAAAACGCGTCCGTAGGCTCTTCGGTTGATTGTGAGCTCCGGTCCCATCTGTGGCTGTTGTCCTTGGGCCCGCCGGAAGGCAATGGCGACGGAGAGGGGACACGCCCTATAAAACAGCGAGGGATTCGTTTTTGGGGCACTAGCCGACCAGCGTACTGAGAGCATAAAAGAATTATCTTAATTAGAATTAAGAGTAAAGCCACTGTTTTGCTAAAATCTTATCTACATCGTATTTAAAATTTGACACTTTTTCCTATGAATACTATAAGCGTGCAATAGGTCATGTTATATGGCGCAACAGGTTTAAATACGCAAATGCAGTTTTCATTACCTGGAATAGCAATGTGTTTCGCATTTATATATTAATAATTGATAAACAAATATATACGTAAATAACTGAATGACTTACATCGCCGAAGGTGTATATAGACATGTGGATTAGCTTGCCAGCAGTGATTTCAATGACCAAGCTGGATCTCAGAATTATTTGAATCAAATCGAGTATATCCTTGTAAGGCAAGTAGTACCAGTTTGTCATATAAACGACTTCACCAATCTTTTTACACTGTCAGAATACTCACAAATAAATGTTCATACCTTGAATTAATTTAAGAAAGACAGGTTACATTATGTGACAGTATATTTGTTACCTTTTCTGTTAATATATCACCGATATAACATATTATAAAAATGTTGAAAATCATGGACATAAGTACTATAAAGTATGAGGCCAGGTTTTGAATATTGCGTTCGTGCCATTCCTGAAAAATATATAATATACTTTCGATTAAATAAATTATTACGGGTTCTGAAATAAGAAGTTTGCATAATATTGCTTGCATATATAGAAATATTAAACGAATTTTTCTAATATCTAACATCTAATATCTAATATCTTTAATTTCTAATATCTAATAGACGAGAATGTCCTTCACATTACGAGATTAACACTTTGACTGCCACGCCGAAATCGCATGTTTCCCTCAGGACGCCACGGGATTGCACCGCTAGATGCAAGATTTGTTCTAATATGTTTTTCATGTTCTAATCAAAATTTTTAATTATTCAATGGAGCACTTTTTATTTCAAAGTATTTTCTAATTAGCGGTTATATTGAAAATACGCTAACCGTGGCCGGTCATATATAACCAACGTGGCAGTCAAGGTGTTAACTATAAAAACGCGTGAAAACGAATATATCTGTGTACATTTTGTTAGATCTGAGCAGGACGTACCGTAAGGATGTAATATCCAAGCATGCATATGTTGATTGTACATTCGAATAGTTCCATGAAACATATCCTATTCATTATGTTTTCGATACCTGCTATAAAACTGCACTTAATATGCACTTAGAAATATTTGCCACAATATCAGAATGGGAGACAAAATTGAAATCTTACCGTAAAACCCTGAGGTGATGTTGAACAATGTCACCTATTTTGTTGAAACCAACGTTCTTGTTATCAACCTTTGACTGATTGACAAATTCGTTGATCCATATCATGACAACATTCAGTTGGCCGCAGGCATGAGCTGCGAAGACAGCGGCAATGCTTACAGAGCCAACGGCGGTTGAGTTTACGATAAATCCAGACACGAATTGTGAAGCAAGAACGATCTCGTTCGTCGGGCTTGTATCGACTGGAATTAAGTTCTTATAAGCCGCACAGGGTAATTTATGGACGATTCTAGTTTCGTTTCCGGCTATAATGGTTTCCGTGGCGATTCCCGTCACAACGCAGTAGATTAAGACGCCACCTTGCACGAAAGCAGCACAAAAACCAGCAACGTAGCGCCCTATTTTCGCATACATCATCATCACTTTCTGATCGTTTATCCTCGTTACGATCTGCCAATCGGTTTGCATGTGTTGTATGCAATCGTGTATTTCCTTGCCTTGCATTAATAACGTGGTGTAATTGATTCCTCCGAAAAACCAATGGCTCAACGGAGCGAAAATCTTTAGTCTCTTACCGATAGTTTCGTCTTCGAGAATGATATGGAATAAACCGGGAATTGCGGTGAAAAATACGAAACCATAGCATGAAACGTTTAAAAGAAATGAAATAATTCTTTCGCGTTTTGAACTTGACGATGATAGAGGCCAGGCCCCTATTGGCTTTAAAAACCATCGGTTCAATTGCAAGCTGTACTCGTTAAGACTACGAGTTGTCTTCTGCTTTTCCACAGATCCCCTTGACATGATCACCCAACGATATCTCGAGAATGACTGAATTGAGTATTTTATCAGAATGAAAACACGACTCGTGTCGTAAAACGCGTGCGCGTACTTCTTCGCACGAATATGCTTGAATCGATTCGCAAGTAGTATACTATTACAAGTTGATTATAGCTATCGTGTGAACTGACTGTCATCTGTCTGCAACTTTTCAAAACATCTGCAGTTGTCCCTGTCCGAAATATCGTGAAATTCGTGAGCCAGCTGGCGGCGTATTTGGAAATGTGAAATGTGCCGAAGATATTCGGAAATTAAGGTATATGGAAATTAAGTTCCTCAAATGTTGGGTCAAATTTAATCGTTATTTTTGTCTTCAATATTTATATTATCGCTTAAAAAGTACGATGAATATTTAATATACGAGAGTTTACGAGAGCAGCGTTTGCGTAAAAATTATTCCTTAAGCGACAACCGAGGATAGATTTATCTCGATCTTCTGCGGATCGAAGGTTTGCTACACGAAGTTGCACGGTAGCAAAAAATCATGTCGATTTGAAAGATATGTCACGTTTTCGTCTTTCAGAGTTGACAAGAATCGAGGTATTTAAAAGATGGATAAGGTGGCAGATTAGAATTCGTGGCAGCAAAAATGTGAAATTTATGATTTACATCTTAGTATATTACAGGCTATTCCCGGGAGAAAAGGTGAAAAATTTCGACTTTGTATTAAATTACAATTCAAGGACTATGATTTTATAAAAATAGGCTGCAGTATATGGGGTAATGTTTATATCTTAAGTTACAAGTTTATACGTTGATTTCGTAATAATACATTTCGTCACGTCACTTGTCCCAGTAGATTTAAATACGCGAAAGCAGTTTTTCGTGCCTGAAATAGTAATTGTTTTCACAAAGAAAGGCAGGTATGTGCAGATATAGATAGTCGCACGACTTATATCGCCAAATGTATATATGGACATGTGAACCAGTTTCCTGGCTGTGATTTTAATAGCCGAATTGGATCTTGAAATGATGAAAATTAAATCGAAGATATTTTTATCAGGTAAATAATACCAGTTCGTTATGTAAATTACTTCACCGATCTTTTTACACTGTTTGGAATGTAAGATTTCGAATGAATTACATTTAAGTTACGAAATTATGTTATCTCGTACTACATAACATACTGTAAAAATGTTGGAAATCATGGATGTAAGTATCATGAAATACGTAATCAGATTTCGGATATCGTGATCCGCCTATTCCTCAAAAGAGTAAATATAAACCTGCTAAAATGAAATGAAGGTTTCTCTCAACTATTCTACGTCGACCGATTCGTCTAATCAGTCGCCACAACTTGTTGCAACAGTGCGCAGGTAAACGCTTATAAACGGCCATAAGCTGTTAACAGCTGTCATGCGACTTGCAATGTCTTCGGGTTGAAACCATTCGCGAGGTGTATTGCATTAATTTGGAAGATGGTAAATTCGATCAAACGTCGTGGTATTTAATAGTGCGAATAATCCTGCTGCAGTTACGTTTCCGGAATATCGTACAAGGGTAAATTTTCGTCTTCGTTTCACATTGTCATTTGAAAAGAGTTGTAAATAATTGTTATACCGGAAATTATGCATATTCAGTACAGTCAATTGCAACGATCGAAAATAGAATAGTTGACATAGTATATTACAAATTAATATTGTGGAATAAGATTAGTATATGACAATGGAAAATTATAGTCCGGTTTAAGGTTGCATCTATCATCGAGGAATTAATTGCAACTTTCATTTCGTTAATGTTAATGCAAATATTACAAATGTTATTATTACAAAGGCTAGTGTCATCAAAGTGCGTATAATTCTACAGTCAGCGAATACAAATTCTAAATAGTACTATTGCTAATCTTTGTGTTAAATTCGAGACGTATAATATTTTGTTACGACACCTGATTCAACAGATTCAAATACGTGAAAGCGGTTCTTATAACCTGGAATAACAATGGATTTCCTGAAGATATACGAATACGTAAAAATATAAATATCGAGCAGACATACATCACCGAATGCGTGGATCGACGTATTAAAAAACTTTCCGGCAGTGATTTCGACCAATACACTCGATCGCGTAATGATCAAAATTAAGTCAAGAATATCTTTCCCAGGTAAATAATACCAATTTGTCATGTAAACCACTTCGCCGACTCTCTTGCTCTGTTAAAAATTCGTTCAATTAATGCTAACTATTATTTTAACACATTACATCATTGTATATTAGACACTGGTACCTGTTCCGTCAAATTATCACCGATATAACATATTATAAAAATGTTAACCGTTTGAGTGCCACGGGTCATTATTGTTTCCCAATCGATATTTGCCAAGCGGCGCGATAGCGCTTCTCATATTCCGCGTTCACCAACCGAGCGCGCTGATTGTCAGCTTCGCAGCTCAGAGCGCTGGCACTTTTGGACACAAAATAGAAGAAGCGCGATCGCGATCGCGCCGCTTGGCACTCAAACGGTTAAAGCAGATGGAAACGAGCAACATAAAATAAATAACCAAATTTTTGATATCGCGTTCTGCCCATTCTTACAACATGTAAGAATGAAAATGTAAAAATTGAACAGTGCGGGAGAAGATTTGTACAAACATAACAATACAAATTTTTAATAGAATAGAAGCTTTATTTTTATGTCAAATATGAGCTTTTTAGTATTCCCTGTTACGATGTGATAGCCCAGTAGACATACATGGAGAGTACGTCTACCTAATTCTAAGAAGCATATCCCATTCATTGTTTCTTCGATGTTAGATATGAAGCTACCATTAAAACAAACCATTATCATAAAAATATCTTGGAAAATATATGAAGAACGTAGGACTCATAACTAAAAGCTCTCAGATGTTGCTCAACGATCATTCCTATTTGTTTAAAAGGAGCAATTCTACCCTGCTTCTTTGGCTCATTCACGAATTCTGTAATCCACAGCATAACCACGGACAATTGACTACACGCGTGTGCACCTAGAACAGTCGCAAGGCTGAAAATTCCTACTGTACTAGAATTTACGATGAATGCTGACAAACATTGTACGAGGAGAACGATCTCATTCGTAGGATTGCTATTCACGTCTATTAGTTTCGTGTATACCGCACATGGTATCCGATGCACGGACCTCGTCTCATTGCCCACTAGAACCTCCTCTGTACTCAATGCTGTCTGAAAGGAAAAGCACAGGACACCACCTTGCATGAAGGCCGCACAAGAAGCTGTCACATAGCGACCGAATTTTGCGTCCTTTAGCATCAACTGTTGGTCCTTTTTCCTTGTTACCATTCGACAGTCGGCTTCCATCTGCGCTACACAGTCACGCATATCTTTGCCTCGAAATAAGAGAACGGTATAGTTGACACTGCCAACAAACCAGTGACCGATAGGTACAACCAGCTTTATCTTCGCGACGGAGCCTTCCTCTTCCAGGAATCAGTAAAGCACAAAAGGAATTAGCGTGAATAGTAAAAAATTGTAGCAGACGATGATTCAAATGATCGAAGAGATTCGTTCGACTGTCGTGGTCGTGGAAAGAGCGGGCCAGGCACCTATCGGTTTCAGAAACCAGCGATTCAACTGCAGACTGTAGTCGCTGTGACTATAGACATTGGTTTCTACAGCCATGAATTTAGCAAACAACGTGACTACTCATCAAAGCTACGAACGCAACAGAACAAAGAGTATTTTGCATGGCATGTGCCAGTAAAGCAGATTGTTTAACTCTTGCGCAGATTTGTTTGAAGAACTTTACAGCGATCGATCTGTCTAGCCGCTGTAATTTGCAGATATGAACTCAGTGGCATACGATATTTCTACGTTGTCGGATTAAAGCTGTATGAATCATGGAACGTTCATGCAAAAGAGTTGTGTGATGCTGTTTGATGATACAACTTATTCGAAGGATGGTAAGGTTCACATGATTAATTATCTAAACACTTAGAAGGCGACGTGGAATTCAGACCTAGAGAAGGTAGGTTGCCATAATAGTTATATATGTATGTACACCTGCATGGTGACAACATTTGCCATGTTTCTCGTGATATGACAATGCATTTATGAAAATACTAATTTCCCTACGTAGTTTCGTAGTTAATATTAGTTTCTCAGGATTAATTAGTTTGTATACTTTTTATCGTATTATTATAATTATAATTGGAATATATAGAGGACCAACAAAAAATCTTGGAAGAAGCTTAATAATAAAATATAAATATTAATGTTATCACATTTTTTTTTTTTATTCCCAATTCCACAAACTGATCTCTGGATCAGACTGAATATAATTATGTTCATCATAAATGAATGTAAGTAATGAACTAGTTAAAGTTTCGCAATTGTTATGAAACTTGACAAAGTAAATTTAAATACGCGAAGGCACATCTTATGACCTGGAATAACAGGTATTTCTATGGGTTCTACAATGAAAGATGATTACCTGGAAATATGAGTAATTAATCTGACTTACTTCACTGAACGTGTAAACAGACATATGAATTATCTTCCCAGCAGTGATTTGGACAACCACTCGCGATCGTGCGATGACTAAAACCAAGTCAAGGATATCCTTTCCCGGTAAATAGTACCAATTTGTCATATAAACCACGTCGCCAACCATTTTGCTCTGTAAAAATTCATACGGTTAACAGTGATTACGAATATAATCTATGAGATGATCGAGTAATAATAAGAAACAAGTACCCGTTCCGATAAAATTTCACCAATATAACATATTATAAAAATGTTGAAAGAAATTGAAAAGAGCAACATAAAATAGATAATCAGATTTTGAACGTCATGCTCAGCCCATTCCTAGAAAATATAGAGAGTATTAAACAAGTAAATACAGAATAAATTCTTTCATGATTATAACAAACTAAAAAATACAAATAAAATAGAATTTTCTTGCTTGCAACACGTATACCGTTATAATATAGTAGCTTAGGATACATATGTGAATAGTACATCTGGATAATTCCAAGAAATATATCCGATTCATCATTTGCTCGATATAAGAAATGAAGCTGGAATTAAAACTTAATATAAACGTGTTGCAAAATATGTAACAAAGATATAAAAGGAACCATACCTCAATGCTCTCAGATGATGCTCAACGATCATTCCCAGTTGTTTAAAAGGAGCAATTTTGCCCTGCTCCTTTGGCTCATTTATAAATTCCGTGATCCACAGCATAACAACGGACAACTGGCCACACGCGTGTGCACATAGTACAGCTGCAATACCAAAAACTCCTACAGTACTAGAATTCACGATGAATCCCGACAAGCATTCTACCAGAAGAACGATCTCGTTCATGGGGCTGGCATTAACATCTACTAGTTTCGTGTATACCGGGCATGGTATCTGATGCACGTACTTAGTGTCGTTGCCCACTTGAATCACCTTCGTACTAAACGCCGTCAATAAGCAAAAGCACAGAACACCACTCTGCATGAAGATCGCGCAAGAAAGAACTACATAGCGGCCAAACTTCGCATTCTTTTGCATAAGCTGCTGATCTTTTACCCTTGTCATCATTTGCCAGTCCGCCTCCATGTGTTCCACACAGTAACGAATATCTCTACCTCGCAGTAACAGAACAGTATAATTGATACTACCAACGAACCAGTGACCCACAGGTCCAACTAGTTTCATTTTTACAACGAAATCTTTCTCTTCCAGGATCAGGTAAAGTATACAAGGAATTACGGTGGCGAGTAAAAGGCTGTAACAAATGACGATTAAAATAAATGAAACAATTCGTTCGAGATTGCTGGTTGTGGGAAAAAATGGCCAAGCTCCTATAGGCTCTAAAAACCAACGGTTCAGCTGAAGATTATAATTAGCACGATTATCGCGATTGGTTTCTGTAGCTAGAAAGTTGTTCGTCATTGTGATTACTCGTCGAAGTTGTGAATTCAACTGAACCAAAGATACCTTACATGGCGTATGCCACTACACCGGATTTCCTAACGCTTGCGCGGATAAAATCTGAAAAACTGAACGCCGATCGATTTGTCTAGTAACTACAACTTGTTGCTGACGGTAAACACAGTTGCATATAGTAAATTGATATCGACAAACTGTTATAGTACGCACTGGAAAGTAGTGAAAGTTTTAGTGCTGCTTATTAAACAGAATTGATAGTTTAAATATTTAGAAAGTTACATAGAAGCCAGAGCAAGGAGATGTAACTTTCTATACATAAACTGTGACGTGATTTTATTTCTCATAACAACATTTTTGAACACATTATTTTTTTTCATATAACTTCGAATTTAATAAATTGCAGTCATATTTGTCAAATTTAACAAATTCCTTGTATTTCACAAATATTCTATAACACACACATAATATTCTGAATATATCATTTAACCCTACAAATTTAAACATCAATTACTTCATGAATTTGGTCACATTTGACGCACCAGGTTCAAGTACGCGAAACCGGTTTTCACCACCTGAAAGAACAGAGTATTTCTTGAGGACAAATGAATGCAAATGAATGCAAATAAATGTAAATATCAAGCACACTTACATCTCCAAACAGGTAAACGGACATACGAAATAATCTTCCAGCAGTGATATGTACCACAACACTTGATCGCGAGATGATCAAAATCAAATCAAGGATACTTTTTTCAGGTAAATAATACCAATTTGTCATATAAACCGCTTCGCCAACTTTTTTACTCTGTCAAAGATTTATTAGATCAGTACTCAGCGCGACTTTAATGCTGTATATTCATTACTGTATTTACATCACTTGACATTAAAGAATTTCTGATACCTTTTCCGACAAGATTTCACCCATATAACATAATATAAATATGTTGAATAAGATCGTAACGAGCATCAGAAAGTGGAAAGTCAAATTTTGGAAATCATGATTATTCCACTCCTACAGAAGGTGTCATAGAATAGAATTTGATTTAAAAGAAAGTTAGGCACACGATATTAACAAATTATTTGGTATGTACCATAAGAATACAGTAACTAAGTATGCATATATCCATCGTACATCTAAATAATTCTAAAAAATATATTTTATTCATCGCGTTCTCGATCGACGATATAAAGCTGTAACAAATAAAAAATATGATCGTAAAGATCGCTGTCAAAGGTATGAAAGCAGAATACTGATATTACTTCAGCGTTCTGAAATGCTGTTCCACGATCACTCCTATTTCTTTACGACTTCCTGCTATCATGCCTCTAGAATTGTTCACATATTCGGTGATCCATAGCGCGACTAAGCTTAGCTGGCTACACGCATGAGCAGCCAATACAGCTGAAAGACTAAAAATCCCAATAGTACTGGAATTTGCAATAACGAACGCAAATATCTGTATGAAGAGGACAATTTCATTCGTTGGACTTTCGTCGGTATTTACAAGCTCCTTGTACACCGCGCAAGGTAGCGTGTGTATGATCTTGGTCTCATTGCCCACTTGGATTTCCTCCGTGGAAAGCGCTATCATGAAGAAATAGCACAAAACGCTAAATTGGAAGAAGATCGCACACAAAATCGTTACGTAGCGGCCAAATCTTGCGTTTCTCAGCATCAGTTGCTGATCCGACTCCATTGTCACCATTTGCCAGTCAGCTTGTACGTGTTCCACGCAGTGACGTACCTCTTTACTCCGTACCAACAGAACGGTGTAATTGACGCAACTAACGATCCAATGATTCACGGGGCCAAGCGTTTTTATTCTCAGGTAGAAATTGTCATCTACCAGGATCATTTGGAGTAAACTGGGGATTATGGCGAGCAGCACGAATCCGTAACACAGGATATTTAAAGTAACCGAAACGATTCTTTCTAGTCGCTGTGTAGTAGGAGAGAGAGGCCAGACACCGATTGGTTTTAGGAACCATCTGTTTAGTTGAAGACTGTAGTCACCGATGTTCTTGGTACTCGCACCAATGGTCAATACCTCGTTCATCGTTATTGAATGAAGTAGCTATCGAAACTGAGGAGGCACCGAATCGTGTACCAGTAACAGGTGCATAAAACCGATACTACGCTTGCGTAATTTTTTTACGTGTTGCGTTCATTGATCGACTTATTTAGTCGGTAGAATATTGTTCAAAAGGAGGAAGCCAATAATTTAGATGCGATAGAAGTTGTAAAACATAGCCGTGTGAGATGAACAGTATATATGTAAGCGAGAATTCCGTGTAATTTTGAATTAGATATTTTGAAACTTTTTAAGTGTATGCATGAACGTACTGCGTGTTTTTTAGCAAGTTTGTGTGGTATTCTTGGGATTGTGCACAAGTATTTGCCCATTTATTATTGTGTGCTAAATAATTATAATCGAAAGTCAGTAAAGAATAGTGATCGAAATTTTGTAATATTGTCAATATTTCCGTATCAAATTCTATAATTTTATGAAAACAAAGGCATGTGAGTAATGAATTTGTTTGAACGAGTAAAAAATATATTGAGCAACCCATACTTGAATACACTCGCGTATTGCTAAAGAATCATTCGCGTTTCCTTTTAAGAAAGCAATTTCGTCCTGCATCTTTGAATGATTTACAAATTGTTCAATCCACAGCATAACCAAATATAATTGACCACACGCGTACACACAGAGAACAGCTGCAATATTAAAAATTCCTTCTGTACTAGAATTCATAATGAATCCCAACATGTATTGTACGTCAAGAACGATTTTGTTTATAGGGGGCTGACATTGATATCTACGATTATCGTGTATACAAGACATGGTATTTGACCTCGTATCTTTGCCTAATTAGATCACCTCCGTACTAAACGCTGTCAAAATGCAAAAACAGAGAACACCACTCTGCACGAAGACCGCGCAAGAAAGTGCTACATAGAGGCCAAACTTCGCATTCTTTTGCATAAGCTGCTGATCTTTTACCCTTGCTATCATTCGTCAGTTCGCTTCCATGTGTTTCACACAGTAACGAATATCTCTATCTCGCAGTAACAGAACAATATAATTGATACTACCAACGAACCAGTGACCCACACACGTCCAACTAGTTTCATTTTTACAACCAAACCTTTCTTTTCCAGGATAAGGTGAAGTATACAAGGAATTACGGTGGCGAGTAAAATAAAAGGAACGATTAGTTTAAGTCCCGTGGATGCGGGGAAAGATAGTGAAGCACGTATAGGCCTGAAAAACCAACGGTTCAACTGGAGACTATAGCGACTGCTGCTACCGAGATTGGTTTCTGTAGTTACGAATTTATTCGTGACTGGGATTATTTATCGAAGTTGTGGATACATCTGAATCAAGGATACCTTACATATCCAATGCCTCTATATCAGGTTGTCTAACACTAGCGCAGATTAAGTCTGAAGAATTGGCCGCCAGCCAACTTTTCTAGGCCCTACAACTTGCTACAGAGGGTGAATGCAGTTGAATACGGTACAATAGTTTTGATATTGTCAAATTCTCATTATAGGAATACGGAAGTAGCGGAGGTTTCAGTGCTGCTAATTAAACAGAATTGATTGCATAAATATTTATAAAGTTACGTAAAAGGGATGCATCTTTATATACTTACATTGTGTCATGATTTTCTATTTCTTACCATAATGTACTTTGAAATACAGGTAACCCTCCTATAACACGGTAGATAGGTTCTTAGAAAATTCCGTGTTGTGTGAAACCGTGTTGTATGAGACCCAGAGCCAGTACAAAAAGGGGGATTACGTTCCGAAAACTTACTAAAAACAAATTTTTTTTTAGTTCTACATAAACAACTTAATTTTGATTAAAAATATAAATGTATGTACAGCACAAAACAAAACGAAAAAAAAAAACAAAAAAATAACAATAATATTATTTTAATTTAATGCAACTTTAATTTAATAAATTTCTTCGTCGTCACTGCTCATGTAGAAGTACAGTGTTGTACAAAGGTTTTTGCAATTTTCTTATTGTGTTAGAGTGAAACCGTGTTATAGGATGCCGTGTTGTAGTTCTTTACCATATAACTTCGGATTTAATATATTGCAGTCGTATTTGTTAAAATGAACAGGTATCTACCATTTCATAACTACTCTATAACATAGATACATTATTCTGTGTATTTCATGCAATGATATAAATTCAAACATCATTTTGTCATTAATTTTGTCATGATATTCGTCGCAGTAGGTTCAAGTATGCGAAACCGGTTCTCACGACCTGAAAGAACAGTGTATTTCATGACAACAAATTCATGCATCCAAATATAAGTAGTAAACTGATTTACATCTCCAAACGTGTAAATGGACATCCGAATGAATTTTCCAGCAGTGATATGTACCACGACACTTGATCGCGTGATAATCAGAATCAAATCAAGGATACTTCTTTCAGGTAAATGATACCAATTTGTCATATAAACCGCTTCGCCAACTTTTTTACTCTGTCAAAGACTCGTTAGATTAGTACTCGGCGCGACTTTAATGCTGTATATTCGTTACTGTATTTACATCACTTGACATTAAAGAATTTCTGATACCTTTTCCGACAAGATTTCACCCATATAACATAATATAAATATGTTGAATAAGATTGAAATGAGTATGAAGAAGTAAGTAGCCAAATTTTTAATATCATGGTCAACCCATTCCTACAGAAGGTTTCATAAAATAGAATGTGGTTTAAAAAAAAATCAGGCACACGATAATAACAAATTATATAGTATGCACCGCAAGAATATAGTAGCTAAGTATGCATATATCCATCGTACATCTAAATAATTCTAAAAAATATATACGATTCAACACTTCCTCGATAAACGATATGAATCTGTAATGAACAAAAAGCGTTATCGCAAAGATCGCCGGGAAAACATCAAAACAGAATATGAATTGATTACTTCAGTGTTCTTAAATGTTGCTCCACAATCACCCCTATTTTATTCAGAGTACCTGCTTTCTTGTCTCTTGAATCATTTACATATTCGGTGATCCACAGCATGACTACGTTTAGCTGGCCACACGCATGAGCAGCCAATACAGCCGAAAAGCTGAAAATCCCAACAGTACTGAAAGTTGCAATAAAGGCCGAAGAAATCTGTACGAACAGAAAAATTTCATTCATTGGACTTTCGTCAACATTTACAAGCTTCTTGTACACCGCACAAGGTAACACGTGTATGATCCTGGTCTCGTTGCCCACTTGGATTATCTCTGTGGCAAACGCTGCCACGAAACAAAAGAACAAAACGGAACCCTGCATGAAGATCATACACCAAGCCGCTACGTAGCGGCCAAATCTTGCGTTTCTCAGCATCAGTTGCTGATCCGACTCCCTTGTCACCATTTGCCAGTCAGCTTGTATGTGTTCCACGCAATGACGTATCTCTTTACTCCGTGTCAACAGAGCGGTGTAATTGACGCAGCTAACCATCCAATGACTCACGGGGCCAAGCATTTTTATCTTCGTGTATAAATTCTCATCTGACAAGATCATTTGGAGTAAACTCGGAACTATAGCGAACAGTACGAATCCGTAACACAGGATATTTAAAGTAACCGAAGCGATTCTTTCTAGTCGCGGTGTAGTAGAAGAGAGAGGCCAGACACCGATTGGTTTCAGGAACCATCGGTTCAGCTGAAGACTGTAGTCACTGTTATTGATACTCGTGCTTGTGATCACTGATTCGTTCGTCATCGCGGAATGAAGTAGCTATCGAAGTCGTGAAGGAACAGAATCGTGTACAAATAGAAACATTCACTACGCTTGCGTAGGCCTTTTAACTGCTGTGTTCATTGATCGATTCGTCTAGTCAGTAAAATGTTATTCAAACGGAAGTAGCAAACAACTTAAATATCGAAGAAATTGTAGGATATAGTCGTGCGAGATAAATGGTTTATACGTAATCGGGCATTTCGAGTAATTTCGAATTAGATATTTTGAAATTAGCAAGTTTATTCCATATACTCGAGATTATGAGCAATTGGTTGCCTATTTATTATTGTGTACTGAATAATTATAATAGGGCTTTATAACATTAATAAAGGATCGTGATGGAAATTTTGTAAATGAAATATAAAGCTAAACATTGTCACAATTTCTGTATCGGAATCTATAGTTCTATATACAAAATCAGTAATAATTCCATTTAATCGAGTCGTGTAAGAAGTTTAAGAAGTCGACGCTGAAATCGAAATTGAGCAATGAAGGAATAATTTTCTTTGCCTACCTAATCTAATCGCTTAACAGTCGTAACAATCGTTTATTAATATCTACTACTATTAAATGGTGTTGCTTAATTTTCTCGTTGTAAAGTATGATTTTTATCCTCGTAAGGCACGAATATTTTGGTATCTATTGAGTGTATTGTAACTTTGTTCATGATACATAATAGGCAGCTTTAGCGACAGTTCTCGAAGGTGTGTGTGGCTCAAAGTGACTCAAAGTCTGTAATTTTGTGTTTATTATATTCGTCGGAAATCGTATAATTCTACGTAAAAAGCGCAGGCGAAATTCAGAAAGTAAGGGACGATATTTCCCCAGCTGTTGCATAAGAAATAACCCTAACCCTTCAAAACTCCTGAACCTAGCAATAATACAATAGCACTGATACTTGGTAGGTAACAACGAATGTTTACTCTTTCTTTCCCGTTTTAGCATGCAACGAGTCTACGATAGAAGTTTGGTCAACTTAGTAGTCTTGGTACAATGTGGCGGTTCACATCGCCATGGTGCGGATCACGTTCAGATACGCGAAAGACGTTTTAAACACCTGAAAGGTATAATATACATGTAGATTACATGTGTATTTCGTTCGTGTCGATACTCACAGCGCCAAAAGTCACGATAGATATTTGTATAAATTTCCCAGCAGTGATCTGGATCACCACGTTGGATCTTGAGATGATCATGACCAAGCTACGTGCGGTTTTGTGAGGTAAGCGGTACCATTCGGTCATATACACTTTCTCTCCGACTTCTTTGCACTGTTGAGTTTTTCGTGCTTTATAGTTTAATAAGAATTTCCTACAGTCTTACTTTCTCACCTGCTCCGTAATTATCTCTCCGATATAACAAAATATAAATATATTAAAGATCATCGATACGTATACGATGACATATGTAGCTAATACTTTCTTCGACTTTTCCTGCGAAATTAGGGTACGTTGTATGAATATCTCCGCGTTATTGTTATTACGTAAAATGTTCTACATCCGAATACCCGTTCTTTGCTTAAATATCACGTATACGTTAAAAATCATCACGACATACATATCCTCTTAACTTTAACTAGAAACCGTTGTAAAAAAAGAAAAAGTGTCACAAAATGATTAAGTCGAATATTTGTTTCATATCTGTGTTGAAACGTACCGTAAGCAAGTAATATTTTATCAGACACATGTTCATCGTACATCCCACTAACTCAACGAGACATATCATATTCATAACTTTCTCTATGTAACATAGAAAACTGGAACCAATATTTTCTTATACGAAACCATAATTATCCAGTATGTTTCTGTTAATATCACATATCTGTGAAGAAATTGCAGACAACGATAGCTACAAACACGATACCTCAATGTTCGCAGATGATGCTCGACGATGGAACCAAGCTTCTGCCGAGCTACCTTCTGTTCCTCCTTCTCTTCCTTCGTGTCCACCAGATTGTCCAGTTTGGACATTACAACGCTCAACTGACCGCAAGCATGCATCGCCAGGACAGCCGCCAGACCGCAAGCTCCCACCGTAATGGAGGTAACGATGAATCCAGAAAGGAACTGTAGAACGAACATGATCTCGTTCATTGGACTGAATCTAACGTCCAACAGGTTCGTGTAAAACGGACACGGTAACCGATACATCGAATAACTATCATTCCCAATGTAGAACACAATCTTTTGAAAGCCTGTGATCGCGTTGTAGGACAGGACGCCGCTGTGCATACATAACGCTGCGATGCACGCGATGAAACGTCCAAATTTGGCGCTCTTCAGCATAATTTCGCGGTCACTGACTTTTTCAACCGTTTGCCAGTCGTGTTCTACGTGTATGATGCAATGCTCGATGTTTCTGGATCTCATCAGTAGGCAACAGTAATTTAGTTCGCCCATCAGCCAGTGGCTCATCGGACCGATCGCCTTCATTCTAACTTTCAGGCTGGTATCTTCGAATAGAATGTACAACACACAGGGCGCAACAGTCAAGATGATCAATAAGTGGCAGGTGAGGATTAATAGCTTTACTACAAGTTTCTCTGTTCTGGTAGACTCGGTGAGCATCGGCCAGATTCCGATTGGTTTTAGGAACCAACGATTTATTTGAGTGCTATACTGGAAGTCGCGCAAATGAAAATCATTGAATATCGAAGAAATCAGATTTGCCATGATTACTTCGTGGAGGGCACACACTGAGTGAACCGTGGAGGTTGCGTTCGAGTCCTAAGGCTCCAATAAAATGGCGCGTGCGCGAATTTTTTCTCTATCCTAGATCGCCATGGTTCAACCATTGTGTCACGGAAAGGAAACGTGATCAACTAGTGCTGCTACTGAAACGAATATTGCAATTTCATGATAAACTGACATCGGTGTTTCGAATTATATCATACAGATCGTTTTTAGCAGTTTCTTTTTTACATTTATGAAAACGAAATTTAACGAAGAAAAAGGAAATTCGTTAATAAGTGAGTTTGATAACTCCCGAGATGAGCGTAGTTAAAATAAATTGCGTGATAAGTGTTGTTGTATTTTCATCACTGAATACCTGAATGATGCTTTGAAATTAATATTGATATGTTGAAGAATGTTGAAATTATTAAATTAATTATTAAAGTTAAATTATTAACTTTGTTAGATTTTGAATACAACATATATAGGTGCATAAAGTTTGTACAACTATTTATAAATTAGTAGAGACGAATTATTACATAACCAGAAACCTTCATGTCAATGCTCGCAACATGTTTAAGAAAGCCATTGATGTTTTAACGACCTATTTGTTTAAACCATTTTCGTTAGTTTGTAAATTCGAGTAAGATAACGGTATTAATTTGATGCTTACATCGCTGAAGGTATTAATGGATAGTTGAACCATATTTCCAGCTGTAAATTTGATCGATGAATTAGACATTGCAATGATCAAAATGCAGCAAAGTTTCTTCTTGCCTGATAGCCGGTACCATTCGGTCATGTACGTCGCTTCACCAATTTTTTGGCACTGATTGAACATATCGTTTATTTTTATTAATCTCTATTCAATAACTTCTCTATAACTACATACACGAATTAGATACTTGTAAAACAATCATGCCTGATTAACGACCAGTTCTCCTATATAACAAAATATGAATATATTGAAGGTAAACGACAAGAGTAACAGTACATAAGTAAAGGCAACCGCTTTTTCTTTCAGATTCCATTCCTGTAACATCAAGAAAATGAGTTCTGTGCATTAATAGTCGATCGTGTAGCTGCATCTTTTATATTTGTATCGTGTGCATACCGTTATGATATAATATTCAAGAAGACACAAATTCAACGTGCTGCCTAAAAATTCTACAAAAGCTATTTGCTGAAACACCTTTTCCGTAAGTGCTAAAAATCTGGAACGTAACGAAAATAAATTGTCAGCGATAAGTATAACGCAATTTTTAAATATGTTTAGAAACAGCGATTATTTAAATTTGTAAATTTTTTCATTTTCGAATATTCACGTTTGAAAATGAAAAAATTCTTAATATCAAATTATTTCCTGTAAAATATCTTGAAATTTATTTAGCTACGAATTCGTTGCAAACATTTTTGTCGATCGGTTTCTCTCGTACTTACGATTATAATTACGGTACAGCGAATAAGTTGATTTTACTCACTTTAATACTCGATCGTGTTGAACCACGATGCTTGCGACCCTACCATCTACTGTCTTGTTCATATCCGGTCTGCCGTCTATCATGTAATCCAGCCACTCCATCAATACTTGCATTTGTCCGCACGCGTGTGTCGCAAATACTATGCCTAAACTGCAAGCCGCTGATGTTATACAATGTATCAATATACCTGTCACAAATTGGACACAGTAGAAGATCTCGTTAGCCGGACTATAACGCACGTCAGCGATGCGTTTGGAGGCAGGGAACGGCATTTGGATATACGTTGAATTCCCGCTGTCTGTTACAATTTTGCCCACACTAATAGGTACAATGATATAAAAGAAGACGAAGGAACTGTACATGAAGAAGACACAAATCTTTGTTAATTTTCTTCCATAATTCGCGTACGCTATCATAACGTTCCTATTCTCGTCGTGTCCTACATTCTTCCAGTCCCATTCGATATATTCCATGCACTGACGAATGTTATCTTCGTTAACCATCAACTGATAATATTTCAAGATCGTCATGATGAAGAAGCTGATAGGACCGAACATTTTTATCTGGCTATACGTATCCTCGATTTCGCACACCAGGAACATGCTGCAAGATATGGACAGGAAACAGATTAAACCGTAACAAAGAATAATCTTCAGAGAGGAGAGATATTTTTCCAATCTCGAGCTATGCGAATTCGGCCAGACACCGATCGGTTTCAGCAACCAACGATTCCACTGAATACTCAAGTTCACGTCTCTCTGATGCCCACACCGAGTTACAACGGACACCTGTTTCTGCATCTTTCATACTCGGTAGCCCGCCTGATACTGAGTGTCCATTTGGTTCGATGACGATTCAAATGAAAACTAATATTGCGCGTGCGCTCGTGTAATGATTCCGCTTTCGAAAGGGAGATTGGAAGCTATATTTTTCGAAGCGTTCGACCCTTCTCAGTCCTTACTTTCTTACCTTATGCACTATGAATGTGATAGATGCAAATTGATGACAGGGAGACATCAATAAATTGATTTTTTCAAACATTACTAGTGCACGAGTGCGATTGCCGTTTTGCAACAGGTTGTGGGAAGCAATTTATAGAGAATAAGAATCCTATGAGAGTGAAACTTTGCATTTCTTTAAGCGTACATATGTATATTAATATTGTGATACAGCGGTACCAATGTTTGCCAATAACAGAATATTATTGTGAATTAAGTGGAATAACTGTGAAAGAGTGATCAAACACAGTTCAACCATAGTTCCAACTGCCTCTTGGATCGAAGAGTTAGCTGTTGTAATTATTAGTACAAAATGGGGCTCTCTGTGTCTAGATAATACGTACAGATGAACCATTATGATATACGTTACGTATTACCATATTTACGGTGCTCATTTTATCACTGATTTGTTTCTTTCTTTTCAAGAAAAAAAGGAAAATTTTCGATAGGGTGTATAAAAAGAAAGAATACTACCAAGTAGCAATTTGATTCGTAGTCCTTTTTACTGGTCCCTCTAGTAAAATATCTTACTCTGATGCTTCAACGTACTGCCAGATGTAAAGGACATTTCTACATATATACATATTTGATACAAAAAAGTATACCGAATATTACGGTAAGAACTATGACACATTACATTTCGTAGAACATTCAAGTTAGTGCTCGTAGTACGTTCAAAAATGCTACCGATGATTTCACCACCTATTCGTTCAATATTTCGATTAGTTTGCAGAAACGAGTGAATGAGGATGGTAATTCGCTACTTACGTTGGAAAAAGTACTGATAGACAATTCCACTATACTTCCCGCAGTTAACTTGGTCGAGGAATTGGACATCGCGATTATCAGAATGCAGCAAAGCTTCTTCTTTCCGTATAATCGGTACCATTCGATCATGTATGCTATTTCCCCTATTTTCCTAGACTATTAAAACCATGTATAGAAGGAAACGTATGAAAAGTGGAGATATAAATTCTTAAAGGATTTCTACCTGATCAGCAATGAGCTGTCCTATGTAACAAAATATAAAAATATTGAACGTAAGCGATATGCATATTACAAAAAATGTTATGATGTTTGTTAGGCGACTCTGCTTAAATTCCTGTAATTTTAAGGGAATGTACACATTTATGTCAAAAGAAAGGTAACGATTCTTAAACTTCGCGTTATATTAATAATTTGTAAATTTCGCACCATCATAATATAATATTCCAGAAGACATATGTCCACTGTGCATCCTACGAATTCCACATACGATAGTTTCTGGAGAGTTTTCTCTAAAAGCGACAGGAATCTGGAATATTATATACTTGTATTATCAAACGTATCTCAAGTATTCAATTGTAGAAATTCAGTATGATTTTATAAAATTTCAGACACAAACTGCGAAAAATAATGTTCATCAACTTGTCTGAGAATATTTTGGTAAATCAAACTTTTGTACTATGCGATGCTCAGATGACCAGCAAAGTGACACATAGGCTATCTTCTGATCCACCCATAGTACTTTCTGTTGTAATTATTTCTAGTGACCACAAAGTGATCATGGTATAAAGTTTTTACACACTTTAATATTCGGACGTGTTGACACACGATCATCGCGATTCGTTGATCCACGTTTTTATACATGTCTGATCGACCGTCTATCAAATGTTTCAGCCAGCCCATCAACACTTGCATCTGGCCGCAAACGTGTACTGCAAATATAGCGGCTACGCTGCAAGTAGCTGACGTTACGTTATGCATCAGTATGCCAGCAATCAATTGAATGAAAAATACGATCTCGTTCGTGGGACTGTAACGAGTGTCGATAATTAAACTCGTGAAAGGAAACACCATGGGGATAAAGGTCACGTTGATATCGTCTGCCCGTATTTTTCCGACACTAATCGGTACAGCTATATAGTAGAAGGTACAACCACTGTACATGAAAAATGTGCAAACAGCGACTAATTTTCTGCCAAAGATGGCGTTCGTTATCATGATTTCTCTATCTTTAGAATATGTTATGTTTTTCCAGTCCCACTCGACGCATTTGATACACTCGCGAATGTCATCCTCGTGAAGGGCCAACAGATAATACTTCAGAAAGGCCATCACGCAGAAACTCAAAGGACCGAATAGTTTGATCTTGTTGTAGATGTCTTTCACCTCGAGAACCAAGTACAGACTACAAGGTATGAAGAGGAAACTGATTAAACCGTAGCAAATGATGTTGATCAACCGATAAATATATTTCCTAGCTGTTGAAATGTTGGTCGGATTTGGCCAAACGCCCATCGGTTTCAAAATCCAGCGACCCCACTGAATACTCATATTCGTGTTCCCCTTGTAGTCGTCGTGTTCTGTCGCGAGACTCGACATCTTCTTGATTTTCGATTTTTGCATTACTACCGTTCGAATGTTCTCCTGATACTGGTAGTCTGTACTTTGATGTCGGTCGCAAGAGAAACGATACCGCGCTTGCGCTGATTTTCCGATTATTCCCATTAGAGGAGAGTGAAAGGTAGTTTTCCAATGAAATAAACCCTCTGCAACTTACAGCTATCCATTCTTATGTATTATGGATGCACTAAACGTGAAGAATGGCGATGAACCGAACATTTATTGAAATGTCTAATGAGAGTAGAGCAACGTTGATATTTCTAGAATGCAAGCACGCTGCGTGTATACGTTACATTTTCACGGTGCCTATATTTCGTATTAGTCTTTTTTCGCTTTTAAGGAAAAGTAAAGAATTTTCAACGAGATGAAGAAAAAAGAAAATAACACTAGAAAGTATCAATGCGATTCGTTATCCTTTTTATTAGTCTACATGGTAAAATATCTTTTTCTGGTGTTTCAATGTAATGCCAGAGATAATACTTGATGAAATCTTGTATACATATGATGTAAAGAAGCATACCGAATATTACGGTAAGAACCATGATACATTACGTTTAGTAGAACATTCAAGTTAGTGCTCGTAATACGTTCAAAAATGCTACCGATGATTTGACCACCTACTCGTTCAATATTTCGTTTAGTTTGCAGAAACGAATGAATGGGGATGGTAATTCGCTACTTACATCGGAAAAGGTGCTGACGGACAATTCCACTATACTTCCCGCAGTTAACTTGGTCGAGGAATTGGACATCGCGATTATCAGAATGCAGCAAAGCTTCTTCTTTCCGTATAATCGGTACCATTCGATCATGTATGCTATTTCCCCTATTTTCCTAGACTATTAAAACCATGTATAGAAGGAAACGTATGAAAAGTGGAGATATAAATTCTTAAAGGATTTCTACCTGATCAGCAACGAGCTGTCCTATGTAACAAAATATAAAGATATTGAACGTAAGCGATATAAGTAATACGAGAAACGTTATGGCGTCTGTTATGTGATTCTGATTCCATTCCTGCAATTTCAAGGGAATGTACAGATTTATCTGAAAAGGAAGGTAACGATTCTTAAGCTTCTCGTTATATTAATAATTTGTAAATTTCGCACCATGATAACGTAATATTCGAGAAGACATATATTCAGTGTGCATCCGACGAATTCCACGTACGACATTTTCTGAAGGGTTCTTTCTAAAAGCGACAGGAATCTGGAACATTATGAATTTGAATCCTCAAACGAATCTCAAATTTTCAACTGCAAAAATTCTGTTTGACTTTATAAAATTTCGGACACTTAAATTATGAAAAATAATGTTCATTAACTTGTCGGAGAATAATTTGGTACTTTAGACAATTGTACTATGTGGTGCTCGAAAGATGACTCGCAAAGGGACGAATAGACCATCTCCTGAGCTAATCATTGTACCTTCTGTTTTAATTAATCCTATTAACTGCAAAGTGGTCGTAGTATAAAACTTTTACACGCGTTAAATATACTTTACACACTTTAATATACGAACGTGTTGTTTCACGATCTTCGCGATTCGTTGTTCCACATCGTTGTACATGTCTGATCGACCGTCTATCAAATGTTTCAGCCAGCCCATCAACACTTGCATCTGGCCGCAAACGTGTACTGCAAATATAGCGGCTACGCTGCAAGTAGCTGACGTTACGTTATGCATCAGTATGCCAGCAATCAATTGAATGAAAAATACGATCTCGTTCGTGGGACTGTAACGAGTGTCGATAATTAAACTCGTGAAAGGAAACACCATGGGGATAAAGGTCACGTTGATATCGTCTGCCCGTATTTTTCCGACACTAATCGGTACAGCTATATAGTAGAAGGTACAACCACTGTACATGAAAAATGTGCAAACAGCGACTAATTTTCTGCCAAAGATGGCGTTCGTTATCATGATTTCTCTATCTTTAGAATATGTTATGTTTTTCCAGTCCCACTCGACGCATTTGATACACTCGCGAATGTCATCCTCGTGAAGGGCCAACAGATAATACTTCAGAAAGGCCATCACGCAGAAACTCAAAGGACCGAATAGTTTGATCTTGTTGTAGATGTCTTTCACCTCGAGAACCAAGTACAGACTACAAGGTATGAAGAGGAAACTGATTAAACCGTAGCAAATGATGTTGATCAACCGATAAATATATTTCCTAGCTGTTGAAATGTTGGTCGGATTTGGCCAAACGCCCATCGGTTTCAAAATCCAGCGACCCCACTGAATACTCATATTCGTGTTCCCCTTGTAGTCGTCGTGTTCTGTCGCGAGACTCGACATCTTCTTGATTTTCGATTTTTGCATTACTACCGTTCGAATGCTCTCCTGATACTGGTAGTCTGTACTTTGATGTCGGTCGCAAGAGAAACGATACCGCGCTTGCGCTGATTTTTATAACTTTTCTCCGGAGGGTACAATACAAGTTATTATCCCTGATCGTTTAAACTCTACCCTGTTTGGAGTCTCCTTGCTTATACATTATGAGCGTGGACAATAACGTAGGAGAAGAATTTGCAAACATCGATTTCCTTTAGTGGAAAGGAATCTGTGAAGTTTGCTAAAATCTATTTCGTTTTGCACATATTCTTTTTACGCGAGGGTTTTTACTTTATACATTTCAATTCCGTGTTTTATATCGAACACTGAATTTATCGAAATTGCAGCAATATTGAAAGTAACGTAAGTGTTATAATTTCCGAAATTTCCCTTTATTTTTCAACACTTTTATAAAACGTGATTCTTCGATATTTTTTAAACGATGCAAAAATGGTGAACGTTCAGAGTAAATCACAATCATTTGTTAAAACGTGTTTGTCAAACGTGTAATATAAAAATTAACATCATTTCTGCACACACACACACACACACACACACACACACACACACACACACACACACACACACACACACACACACACACACACAGCAACGATTATAGAAAACATTTAGGTCGAAAAATGTTCAAGTGGTTCTTCGTAGTACATTTAAAAAAGAGACTGCAGTCTTAACAACCTGTTTGTTCGAAGAAAAAATGTGCGATTAATCCTTACAGATAAGAAGGAAAGAATGCAAGATAATCTGATACTTACGTCGGTGAACGTGCTAATAGACAATTCAACGATATTTCCAGCAGTCAATTTTATCGAAGAGTTGGACATTGCGATAATCAAAATGCAACAGAGCTTCTTGTTCCCTGGCAATCGGTACCACTCGATCATATATAACATTTCGCCGATTTTCCTGCACTACGTCATTCTTTATTGTTAAATATAAAGGTTTGTTGGTCACGAATTAATTAACTGAAATTTAACTACCTACCTGCTCTGCCACGATTTCGCCTATATAACAAAATACAAAGATATTGAATATGAGCGATAAAAGTAAAATCGAGTAAGTTACAGAACTCGTGATGTCATTCGCCTTCGATTCCTATAAAAGCAAATTGATATGTTAACTGGTATTTATAAGATTCAAAATCAAACACGAGGATCATCGTACTACCATGATGATATAATATCCAACGAGGCATATATCCATGGTGCATCCTAAAAACTCGGCGAATGAAATTTGCTGTAGCGTTCTTTCGGCGAGGCTTAAAAATCTGAAATCATTGGTAATATTTTCTGAATCATAAGGTAAAACGACATAAAAAATTATCGTTATTCGCTTTTCTCATAATTTGCTATTTCTCTGGTCAGTCACACTGCGAATAATTAAAAGGTAGAGTCATACAGGCGTGTCATGTTTGGTTACACGTAGAATTTACTATTGTAGAATGAATTATACTTAGAATAAAAGGGATTTGTAAATTTATAAAGCAATAGTACTTAAAGAATAAAAGTATTTCTACTCTCAATCTAATGTTGGAACTATAGATGACGTTATCATAGGCTCAGAATCCACCTTCGCTAGTGGACTGTCAATCAATTACAAGATCACCTATGAACAATTACAAAATGATCCGATTACATACTTCAGGACTTTAACATGTTGACACACGACGTCCGAGATTCTATCATCCACCTGCTCACTCATATCCGATCGACCGTCTATCAAATGATCTAGCCAGTTTATCAATACCTGCATCTGGCCGCAAGCGTGAATGGCGAAAGCAGCTGCTAGACTGCAAGCAGCCGAGGTGATTCCATGCATAAGGGCACCAGCCAGTAATTGCATGAAAAATACGATCTCGTTCGTGGGACTGTGATACGTGTCGATAATGAATCTCGAGAAGGGAAACACCAGAGGGATGAAAGTGAGATTTTCGTTCGTTGCGATTCTGCCCACGCTGATCGGTATGGCGACATAGTAAAAAACGAATCCGCTGTACATGAAGAAGGTGCAAATGATCACCATCTTTCGTCCAAGATACGCGTTCGTTATCATGATTTTTCTGTCTTTCGCATGAGTGATGTTCTGCCAGTCCCACTTTATCTGCTCCACGCATTCACGAATGTCCGTTTTGTGGACGATCAAGAAGTAATACTTCACAAACGCCATCACGCAGAAGATCAGTGGACCGAATTGTTTGAGCTTACCGTAAGTGTCCTCTATCTCGAGAAAAACGTACAGGGCGCAAGGGATGAAGAGAAAAGTGATCAGACCATAGCAGGTAATGTTTATTAGCCAGTAGAAGTACTGCTCCGAACGCGAATCGGTACGTGAATTTGGCCAGAGACCCATGGGTTTCAATAGCCAACGATTCCATCGGATACTCAGATTCACGTTTTTCACATACTCGTAGTTGATTAGGTGGAAGTTTTTACGGTCTATTCTTTGTTTTTGCATCCTCGATGCTCGATCGTTCACGCAAAACTAAATGCTTGCGGCACGATACGGTTCAAATAGAAAATAAAATTGCGCCTGCGCTGGTTTCATGATTTCCTTCAGAAGGGACAGCCAAAGTTATGCATTATGCGTGGGGAAAGAACGATGATTAAGAGGCATCGATAAGTTCATTCTCTTGGACGTCAGTTAAATGTTATTATTGCTGTTGGACGGTTTCAGGGAATGAATTTATGGATGATCATGATATTTACTTGGTTAATATTAAAAATGTTAAGGGTTTACCAAGGATTTACCAAAGGTTTACCAAGGGTTTACGCGTAAAAAATTCAGGTTTGGCACGCGAATTTGTTGCATCATTGTTAGAACGAATATTGTACCACATTTCACATTTGTGGTGAGAATGCATGTATTATTTACATTAATCTTATTCGTAATGTAAATTTAAAATATCAATGTGTGTCGATTTTACTTGTGCATCTTTATTTTGACGTGGTTGGAATTGTATTCGTTGCATTCCGAGAAATTTATACATTTCAAAGAAAATTGAACTTTCGATTTGCAAAAATAGCAATAATTATATGATACCTACGTTATCGAAATCGTTGACAAATATTTCCAACTTTAAATTGGTGGATAAATTTCGTATTGCGTTAATTAAAAGACAATAACGCTTCTTATTTCTTGTAATTAGTATTATTCAATCCATTTGCAATACTTTTCCAATTTTCCCAATTATTCTTTTAATGAAGAAGCAAGAAATAATACTAGGAAATTAATAATATTTAAAGTTGATCGGTATGTTGATTTTCAAAGTTCGGTCAACGTGCTATCCTTCACTTATACTGTGAAAATTATAGATCGTTGGAGTAAATGATAATTTACTTTTATTTCTACTTCATATATAGTAGAGTGGTTTTTAAAAAGGCAGATATATATGTGATACAAGCATGTATCTATCTCTGCGAACATTCAATGTGAGAATCAAAATATCACCCTACTGTCGATGCCGGTTTGGAACCCTTAAGCTGTGAATGTTCGTAGCATGTTTAAATACGCGACTGACGACTTGATAACCTATAGTATTGGATGAAAATTCATAATAGAAATTTTGATTCGCAGAATTTATAGCTCGGATATTCTTCCATAAAAAGAATACTTACTCCACCGAAACTACTAATGGAAAGCTCGATGATATTACCAGCGGTGATCTTGGTCGTCGAATGGGACATCGAAATCATTAAGGGTACGGCAAGACTTTTCCTCCAAGGCATTCGGTACCAGTCAATCATATAAGACTTTTCGCCGACTTTAACTGTCTGATAAATTAATTAATTCGATATTTTTCTGTTGAATTTCATCGCATTTCTTAAAAGATAAAAATACACAAAGTTGAACAGGCGAAATAAGTCATATTTATCCTTCGCTTGACGAATAAAAAATGTTTCTTAACGTTAACATTTATTTTGTTTGCGTAATCAACGATGAAACCCCTCGAACACAATGGTGAACTAAAAATGAAATAATTACCTGTTCTATCAAGAGCTCACCGATGTAACAGAATATGAATATGTTAAACGTAACGGATGACAGTAATATTATATACGTCATGCCGTTGACAGGATGATTAGAATCCCATTCCTAGAAAAGAAATTGCAAATTAAACCTTCGATCGACAGTTTGCAATTTTTGCAAACATACCACCATCGTGTAATACCCCAAGAAGCACATGTTCAAAGTACACCCGACGACTTCTACCAACGATATCTCGTGCAGAAGATTCTCTGTAAGAGCAATGAAACTAAACCAAACAGGCATCGAACAAAGAGATATCTCGATCTTACTTGATTATCCGAACGTGTTGCTCCACGATATTAGCCAGTCTCTGATCCAAGCTCTCGTCGTCGTTCTGCCTGCCATCTACCAATTTCTCCAGCCAAGACGTCAACACCTGCAACTGGCCGCACGCGTGCATCGCGAGAAGCGCAGCCAAGCCACAAGCAGCAACAGTGACATTATGAGCAACGAGACCGGACAGTAACTGTATCGTGTAGAGAATTTCATTGGCTGGACTGAGACGAGCGTCCAGGAGGAGCTTAGGAAAGGGGTAAACCAGTCTCCAGTAGGTCAGATTGCCACCCTCTTCCACGATCATCGCTCCAGTGAGCGGCAAAACGATATAATAGAAGACCACCCCTCCGTACATGAAGACGCCACAAATGTAGACAAGTCGATGACCGAAGCCAGCATTATCCAACATGATTTTACGATCCTCCTGGTGCTTCACGTTCCTCCAATCGTTCTCGATGAGGTTCACGCATGTACGTATATCGTCTTCGCGAGCAATGAAGACGTAATACTTTATTACCGCCATCATGAAGAAACTGAGCGCGCTGCCCAGTTTCATCTGGTTGTAAAGATCATCGATCTCGAGGACGAAGTACACAATGCCCGGGACTAGGATAAACGCGAGCAGGCAGTAACAAAGAAGGTTCAGAAGGACGTGTTGAATAGTCTGCAACCAGGAGTGGCCTAAAGATCTTGGCCAGGATCCAATTATCCTCAGCGTTAATGCGTTCAAGCGGATGTTGAAACTAAGATCCTCCTTGTAACTCGAGTTACAGGGTTGTTCGTCGACAGTTAGCTTCCTTGCGTTCATGGTCGAACATCTAGGGCCAGCATAGAATCACTGATGCCTGTTCCACCGAGTAACGGTCGAATCGTTGGATGAGTTTCGCTGGATCAATGCGCTTGCGCTGCTGGATAAGAAACAAGAAGAGGACAGCTGTCTCTTCGTTTACTTTTTCGTTTCAGTGCAATTTTCATCGAAGAAAGTTTCCTGTCCTGTCCTCTGTGTATTTCTAGTTATGACCGGCGGAGTTGGCGGTAATGACAGGTTTCGAAATGGATTTTTTCAAAAGCGGAAGAGAAAATCAAGGAACGAGGGACAAACTTATGGTTACCGTGTTCTCGTGTGCACGTCAGGGGTGATGTGAACATATACGCTTCGATCTTTTATACACGCTTCATGGATATTTCAATTCTGGATAGGGTTGAATGATATTTTTCGTTTCAAATGTTTATGATACCTCTAGAGGAAACTTGGATCGAATATACCGTGGAAGGTTGCAAAGAGAGAGGATACCCGGTATTCGATCGTAGGATGAAACTCGTTTTTTATTAAAGAGCCGAGGCAGTAACCAAAAATATGTTTCTACGTGATTCCTAACGAGGAACATGCGCTACTTTCGACGGAGGTTAACGTAAGTCTCGTTATCGTTAACAAAATTTTAGATTACTCCACGCAGTATATTTAAATATCCCATGGACACTTTCACGACCTAAGAGACATCATAAATGGAAATTTAATTAATCCATCGAAGGTTTCAATTATTTATACTCACGTCGGTGAAAGTAGTTAAAGACATGTCGAGCATCTTGCCAGCCATGAGTTTCATCGGGGAATTAGACATAGCGATAATTAGTATTAAGCATCGTACATGTTTGGTCGAGAGATGGTACCAATTCACCGTGCATGCTGTTTCTCCCACGATTTCATTCTGTTAGAATGTGTCATGTATTGGAAGAGTCAAAAAAGCAGATGGGAGAAAGAGATTATAATATGTCGTACTTGGTCGACGAGAAGTTGACCAATGTAACAGACTATGAAAACGTTAGATATAAATGATATTTGTAACATGATGTAGGTCACGATAGCTGTGGTATTAGTATTCTCCCATTCCTAAAATATATTCATCCTATATTCCTAAAAGAAAACTGTTAATGTTACTATCAACGCTGCTCGTACCATGAGAATATAATATCCCACGAGACAAATCAAACATGTACCACCCACCATTTCGATCAAGTAAATGTATTCCGTAATTGTTTCAATGTTCTTTAAAAATCTGCAATCGAGTCACGAGTACAGGATATGCGATGATGCATAAATATATTTTACGAATAGACAAATTTTTTGTCTTTATCTGATAATTCGTTTCAGCCTTCAACCGGTATCGTTGTTCCCATTAAATCGCTGTAACTTTAGAGCACTTAATCATAACTCGTGTTTCATATTTCTATATTCGCAATTAAGACGAAATTACAAGCGAATAACGTAACTGAAACCCAACAGGAATACGTAGATGTAATGGCCACGCGTGGACCAACGATATCGGTTGAAAATGAAATCAAACTTCTCTTTACCTCGAACCTTCTACTCACTTTTTTATTTTTATCTGATACTCAACGATATCAGCGATCTTCCGTTGCACCACAGCTTCGGATGTATCTGTCTTATTCACCAGCTTCTTCATCTTGTTCATCAGGATCATCATCATACTGCAGGTATGAAGAATGAACAGAGCGGAAATGCCGCAGGAACCACTGATGATCCCATAAGTAACGAATCCAGCTATAACTTGCAGTACGAACAATATCTCGTAATTCGGGGTCTTTTGCTCGTCGATGAATACGAGATAACTCGAAATGGGTAACGGTCTTACGGTAACGTTCCCGGCAGTGACGATGGTTCCCTTCAAAAGAGGTAGGATTATTCGATAGCACAAGCCACCACCATACACGGAAGCCGTGACGATTAATATGACTTTCCTTCCGAATTTCGCTTTTTCTTTGTAGATCAATTGATTCTCCTCTGTAGTATTTAACCAATCCTCCCGGATCGTGTCCAGAGCATTCCGAATCTCCTTCATTCGCCATAAGAGTATCGTGTACTTGCCGATTTGCATGCCGCAGTTAACGAGTGGGCCCAAAAGCTTTAACTTTATCTTGGGATTTTTCTCTCTCAGGAACATGTGCATGAGAGGCGGTGTGATCATGACGAAGGACAGGAAGTAGGTCAGAGCGATCTCGATCTTTTGCAAAACCTTCGAGGAAAAGGAAGAGGTGGCTGGGATAGGCCACACACCGATGATTCCCAACATCGGCTTCACGAACCTCGTGGCGTATCTTAGATCGTACTCCATCTTCGATTTTCCGGACATATTTTCCATGACTGGACACCTGGATGTGACTGGCTGGGTCAAGAGGAATTCAGTCTGGTCCGCGACATCGCGCTTGCGTACACGTTAGGTACTCGCGGATTCTTTATGGAATTGATGTCATTGAAACGATTTCATTGGAGAGGAGAAACGGGTGAATTGGTTCAAATTAACCCGTTTAAACTTTCCACGAACTCAAGGGTTCCCCGGTGGACGAGGAGCTTCCTCGCAAGGGCTATTTGTTAATACGACGTACGATTTGCTTCTTAAAGATCGTCGAAGAAACGATCTTTCTTACGAATTCATTATTATATATTTAGAAAAATTGAAACAGCATGTGCGACGTATGTATAACGTATGTATAACGTATCATAATGTTTATATAAATTTCGTATACGAACTTTATATGTATCGTTCACGGTGTCCGAGGGGGAATTGTAAAGTCATTACTACTTCGAAATAAGAAATGTTTAAAAATCCGATAATATCGCATGATAGTGGTTCGAGTTTTCCAACAGATGCTTTTCACTGTCTACAAAGTTTGTACGGGTTGAGAATGGTTATTATCGTGATTGTAAGCAAAGGGGAACAAGTTATGCCCGTAGTTGCGTTTGAGGTATTAAAACTCTATGTGAAACGGAGAAAGAAGTAACATAACGAATTTAAAATTATACACTTTCTATTTAGTAAGTTGAACAGTTTCGTAGAAAAATGAAGAAATACTGTTACGGAGAATAGATTTTTGACATCACCTTTAGCTAATTATCGTGTACCGTATTCGATAAGTTTCGTGGTAAAATGGTATTTAAGGTATTAAAAAGTGTTCCTTAACACGTTTAAATACCCCATCGACGCCTTCACAATCTAAAAACAAAATTTCACAGGGGGTACAGAGATTCGAAGATGGGAATTTTTTATTTCTGTATACTTACGTCGGTAAAAGTAGCTAAAGATACGTCTACGACTTTGCCAGCTGTAAGCTTCATTTGATAATTCGACATAATGATCACCAAGATCAAATAGCGAGCCTTCTTCGTGGGAAATCGGTACCAGTGAAACGTCGCTGATACCTTTTTCACATTATCGCTCTACCGAAGTAAAATTTACTATAAATACCAGGGTGTTTATGCGGAATTTCTGAAGAAACTGTAAGAAGTAGAATATACTTCGTCGATGAGAAGTTGACCAACGTAACACATGGAGAAGTTGATGAACACGCAGTTCATTTGCAACAAAAGGTAAATTAATATAGCCGTGGCATTGCTGTCTTCCCATTCCTAAAATCAATCGAAAATTAAATTAAGAAAACGAATTTTCAGGAGTCCTCGGGAATCTTCGGGAATAGCATCTCTCAAGGCCCAATCGTTCGTACCATGATTATGCAATATCCAATCGTACACGCAATACCTGTGACGTTGATAATCTCGAAGAAACATAAATATGGACTTATCTGTTCGACTCTTTTTAAAAACCTGCAAACATCACACACGCTGTCCACGTGATATCTGATACATTTCACGGAGTAAAAATAGCAAAGGTAAATTTCAACTCACTTCTTTATCTTCGTCCTGTACTCGACGATGTCGACGATCTTCTTCTGCACAGCGTCCTCGCTGATATCCACCTGATTCGTGAGTTCGGTCATTTTGTTCGCCAGGATGCTCAGCTGACCACAGGTATGCAGACAAAGTATCGTGCAAATTCCCACTGTACCACACACGACCGTATAGGTGAAGAAACCGCTGAGAACTTGCAGAGTGAAGATCAACTCGTAGTTCGGTGTAGCTTGTTCGTCAAAGAAGATGAAGTAACTTGGACAGGGTAATAGTCTTATAGTGGTGTTATTGGGTAAAACAATCCTGCCAACCGAGAGCGGAAGAATCGTCCTATAAGAAATACCCCCGGTGTATATGGTCAGCATGATCACTATCATCACCTTATGCCCGATCTGGGCCTTGGCGCGGAAAATCTGTCGATTTTCGTCAGTGACGGTCAACCAATCTTTCTTTAACTCGTTCATTATCTTTCTGAACTCGTCCATTCGACACAGTACAATTGTGTACTTAAACAATTGACATATAACGTTGATATGAGGCATGAATAACTTCATTTGCCTCCTGCTGTTCGTTTCTTTCGCGAGTATGTGCAGGATCCCTGGCACCAGGAGCAGAGTCAGGAGGAAATAAGTGAGGAAAATTAAAAACCGTTCGAAAATCTTCGAAGACGAGGAGGCTGAGATGGGATTCGGCCAGGCACCGATGATTCTCAACAGAGGATATAGGAACTTCAAGGATTGCTTCAGATCATCTTCGGCGTTTATCATGGAGGACATTTTGCAATTGGTTGAAAACTCGAACGTGACTGGCCACGTTGCGAGAGGAAAAGGAAGCCGCTTCGTGGACTTGATTGCGCTTGCGCGCATAAAATGTTAAGTATCCGCGAAGGGATTGTAAAATAGCGTTCGTACGAAAAGACAGGAAAATTGGTTGAAATTACCGATATGGACGTTGCCATGCGCTACGTGGTCTTCCCCTATGGATAAGAACTTTTATCGTAACACAGCTTTGTTCCCTCGCACGATTTACCATTTCAATCGTCGAGGAAACGATATTTATCGCCATCATTTCCACAAATTTTATCTTACGCTGTGAGTAACATGTCGAGACTTTCTTTTTTAAATATATTATGGAGATATATGTTTGCGGTGAAGTCAAATAGTCGAAGATTATCGTGATAATGCAGTTACTACGTACCATCATTTTCCAGACGCGTTTCTTTACTGTTTGTGGAGCTCAGAGAGAACAGAAGCGATGATTATCACTTCTTCGATGATTGTAAGTAGATATGAAAGGGTGTGCGAAGGGGTCAGTTGCTGGTTAGTTATTGAAATTGTAGAACAAAGCATGACAACGGTTTTAGAATAATGTGTAATACAAACCCAGAATCTATCTCTATTATGTTACTGTAATACAAACCCAGAATCCATCTCTATGGCATTTTTAATAAATCATCTATCATATATTTTACCTAACTAGCGTTCTAAATATCAACTGTATATTATATGAATACGACGAATATGAAAGCTTAAACCATTTTCTGTAAGATGTTCAAGTACCCCATGGACGTCTTAATGATCTGAAAAAAAAAAAAATTATTTTTAGGATATACAGAAGATCTATTAAAAAACGATCCAAATTTTTGATACGTACATCGGTGAAGGTGGATAAGGATATGTCTGCGATTTTGCCTGCCGTAACTTTTATTGGGTAATTCGACATGATAATCACCAAGATCAAGCTTTGTGCCTTTTTCGCAGGTAAGCGGTACCAATTCAACGTGATGGAGGTCAGTCTAACTTCGTTGCTCTGTTAAAGATGAGATTTGCAATAAACACCATGGAAATGTGATATTTGCTGAAAGGTTATAAGAAGTAGTCGATGGTATACTTCATCCATGAGAAGCTGACCAATGTAACATATGGAGAAGGTGGAAAACATACAAGTCACTTGCAACATAAGATAAATTATTATAGCTATCAGATTGTTGTCTACCCATTCCTAAAACATGATCATCGTGTGAAAACGTGACATATCGCAGAAGCAATCGCCGTCCGCATCTTCAACAAAGGTTTCAGTATCATTCTATCGTACCACGATAATACAGTATCCAGTCACGCATGCTATACACACATCATCAAAGATCTCGAAAAAATAAAGATACGGTGTGATCTGTTCAACGAGAGTTAAAAATCTGAAACCAAGTTTCGGTCACCACGCACGTTATGTCTAATACTGCTAAACGTAATCGTCAAGTAGCCTAACAAGTTATCCTTTCAACTCGCAAATTATTCGCCAATTATCCTAATTCACACACCCGAGATATGCAAGTCTCTTCGTTCTAGCAATCACTCACCCTCTGATATCCGACTGTTGCTCAACGATATCCGCGATCTTCTCCTGTACAGCCATCTCGCTCATATCCGCCTGTTTCGTGAGCTCGATCATTTTGTTTATCAAGATTCGCAGCATACTGCTCAAGTGCAAGCAAAGTATCGAGCACAGCCCGATGGTGCCGCATAGAGTAGTGTAGTTGATGAAACCGCCGAGAACTTGCAGGATAAAAATTATTCCGTAGTTCGGTGTAGATTGTTCATCGAGAAAGATGAAGTAACTCGGACACGGTAACAATCTTACAGTGGCGTTATTGGGTAGAACAATTTTCCCTACTGAGAGCGGAAGAATCGTCCTATAACAGAGGCCTCCGCCGTACATGGTGATTGCCAGTATTATCACCACCTTGTGTCCTATGTTCGCTCTCATTCGGAAGATCTTTCGATTCTCTTCAGAGGCACTTAACATATCGTTCCTCAGTTTATCCAATATCTTGCTGAGCTTGTTCGACTGTCGCAATAAGATCGTATACTTGGACAGTTGGCAAAAGCAGTTTATGTGCGGTATTATCATCTTAAGTTGCTTCCTGCCGTTCTTCTCTATCATGATTATGTATAGAATACCTGGGACCAACACCATCAATTGCAGGAAGTATGAAACTAAGATTAAACACCACGTTGAAACCTTTGAGAATAGGGTTGTTGAGGTGTGGGAGTTTGGCCAGGCACCAATTAGCTTCAAGAGGAAATACACGGGCTTTAAAATCTGGTTCAGATCTTCCTCGGCACTTTTCGTCCCAGGCATTCTTTAATCGAATGATAGCGAGAACGTGACTAGTCTGGTATGAGAATGGAAAAAGCACACGTCTCGGAGATCTCATTGCGCCTGCGTGTATGCAATGTTAAATGACCGTGAGTTTAATGTTAAATTGCTGCCTGTTGAAACGATTTTACATCTACGGAAAGATTGCTCTGTGGAGTTTTGAGATTTTATGAAAATTGGTTGAAATTACTGATATAGATGTTGCATGTCCTATGTAAGCCTTCCCCCCCTATGAAATTTCACCTGAAGTTTTATTGTAATAGCACTTTCGTGTTTTCCAGTATAATTCGCCATTTTCAATTGGCGAGAGAGCAATTTTTATCGCGATCATTTTCTTTTCAAAATTTAATCAAATTTTATAGCTATTATAAAGTTTCTCGAAGACTTGCGGGAAAGTCCTTGAAGGCGGAATCTCTCTAGTGGCGAAGGCGAGAATTATGGTCGCTACACAATTAATACGACTATTTAAGTGACTTCTCGTAATACGTTTAAGTATCCCATCGAAATTTTCATGATCTGAAATATAATTGCCACAGCATGTACAAAGAACGGCAAGCAAAGATATATTTTATCGATACTCACATCGGTAAAGGTGATCAGAGACAAATCTAAAAATTTCCCCGCCGTCACTTTTACTGGTTGACTCGACATAAGTATCACGAGTAATAAGTTGCGTACCTTTTTCATAGGAAATCGGTACCAGTTCAGCGTGATGGATTTCTGTTTAACGTTGTTGCCCTGTTATGAAGTAAAATACGAGATGAACACTATGGTAATGTATTCGATAGATCACTATAAAGACTACTCCTTGGTATACTTCGTCTATGAGAAGTTGACCGATGTAGCATTGCGTGAAAGTGCTGAAAATGCAGGTTGTTTGCAGTAAGAAATACACGGCAATGCTCATAGTGTTATGTGCCTACCGTGACAATGCCGTATCCGAGCATGCACGTGCTCGCTACCTCGTTAGTGACGGAGAGAAAATAAAGATATGTCGTGGTCTGCTCAACGCGATTAAACAATCTGCAATTAAATTTTCTACCGTTAAAATTACACTAAATTCGTGTGTCCAAAATATTCGAACTATTTCATTCCTCTCTTCTCTTGCCTCTTGAAACTGGAGTGATATTCAACAATATCCACGATCTTCTTTCGCACAGCGTTCTCGCTGATATCAGACTGATTCGAGAGATCGATCATTTTCATCGCCAGGATCTTGAGCATGCTACATACGTGTAGGCAAAGCATCGTGCAAGTACCAGCGCTAGCGCATAGCGTAGAATAGTTGAAGAATCCTCCCAGAATTTGCATAACGAAGATTATCTCGTAATTCGGTGTAGCCTGCTCGTTAAAGAACATAAAATAACTCGGGCATGGTAACAGTCTTATAGTCGAATTATTCGGCAGCAGGATTCTGCCCTTTGAGAGTGGAATAATCGTCCTGTAGCCCAAACCTCCGCAGTACATCATGAATGCTATCATCATCATCAGTCTGTGTCCGATATTCGCTTTTCTGTAGAAGATCCCATAATCCTCTTCCGTGGCGCTCGACAAGTTGCCCTTTATCTCGTCTAATATTTTCCCGATCTCGTTCTTTTGTCACAACAGCAGCGTGTACTTGCACAACTGGTTGAAAGCGTTCAATTGCGGCATCAACAACATGAGCTTCCTCCTGCTGCTTCTCTCTTTTAGAAATATATTCAGAAGACCCGGGATGAAGACCGTCAGTTGCAGAAAGTAAGAGACGACGATTATACACGTTCTTAAAATCTTCGATAGCACAGAGGATGAGCCAGAATTTGGCCAGCAACCGATTAATCTTAAGATCGGATGCACGAACCATGTGATGTGCTTTAAGCTCTCGTTCGCGTTGCTTATCCGCGTCATTTTTACGCTAGTGCAAAGTACGCGACTGACCACGTATGTCACACAACGTGATACTAGTTTCAAAGTTCGTATTGCGCTTGCGTTCATGAAATGTTAAATATCTCAGAATAGAATTACCCGTTGTTGAAGCGATTTTCGAGTACAGGTATACATATATATATATATATATATGTATGTATGTATTATGGGACAGTAATTTGACAATTATATGACAAAATAATACAACAGGTCGAAATTGACCAATCGGACGGACTTTGCATGTATCGCATGAGTTCCCCGTTGAACATGAAACCTTCGTTGTAATGATAATTTTTGCGTACAATTTCCCTTTACGACCAATGAATGAACAGCGTTTGCCAGAGTAGGTTTAAAAAATAAAGATAAAGATAAAGTTCATAACGTGGCAGACGATAAACGCAGTTGACAGTGTCCATCGCCAGTACGGTGAGCAAATGTGCAGGGTTGTGCAAGCAAGAGGTACAGGTTACACGTACAATTTCAAGCAATCGCGCAAGCTATCAAGCAAGAGAGAGTAATCCGATGAATATCGCTAAATTGTTTATTACAAGAGGCAAGTTGGTATAATTTCATACATAAGTACTGTATATCGTATATTATGTCTCATGATTCTTGCCGCAAAAAAACGATACTTTAAATGACTCTTCGCAGCATGTTTAGGTAGCCCAAAGACGCCTTTAGGAACTAAAAAATATATGTTTTGCATGGCGTACAGATGCTGATTCATACGAAGATCTGATTTCTTGATACTCACGTCGGCGAAGGTGGTTAAGGATATGTCCAGAACTTTGGCCGCCGTCATCTTCATCGGACAATTGCTCATGAGGATCACTAAGATCAAGCAGCGAGCCTTCTTCGTGGCGAAACGATACCACTTCAACTTGATGCACGTTTGTGCGACGTTATTGCTCTGGTAAAAATATATAGGATACAATTCGATTTAATACAAGCAAAGATATCGTTACAGCGAATAGCGTACTTCGTCGATAAACAGTTGACCGATGTAACAGATTATATACGTGGTGGAGATCCAGGTTAGCAGCAATTCCAAGTAGATCAACATAGTAGCGGTATTCTGATCTTCCCATTCCTGAAATTATTTGCTTCGATTGTAAGATCAATCAATTTCGATCAGTATTTTCATCGCTAATCCTTTTATCCATACCAGTAGAAGGCAATATCCTATCAAGCACGTAACAACCGTGACAACGGCGATTTCGTAGAAACAAAGATGCTGTGTGATCAATTCTGCGTTGCTTAAAAATCTGGAAGGGCGACAAACGAGGCAGGCAAGGTATACAACGCTTAATCGAATAATTCTAATTTGTCACTCACCTTTTGAGCTTCGTTTGATGTTGCACGATGTCCACTATCTTCTCCTGCAAGATTTCTTCGCTATTCGATCCATCGGAAAGATCGATCAATTTGTTCGATAGAATGTTGAGCAGAGCGCACATATGCAACGACAGCATCGAGAAAATCCCAACGGTGGAACATATCACGGTATAGTTGCAGAATCCACCTAGAACTTGGCATATGTAGATTATCTCGTAGTACGGAGTTGCTTGCAAGTCGATAAACGGAAAGTAAGCTGGACAGGGTAGTAGTCTTATAGTGGTATTATTTGGTAGGGTGACTCTTCCTTTCAAAAGCGGAAGAATCACGCGATAACACAGGCCACCGCTATATATCATGAAAGCCACGATCAACACCACCTTGTGTCCAATGTCCGCCTTCATCCGGAAAATCCGTCGATTCTCTTCTGTGGCGACTAGCCAATCGTTCCTTATCTCATCCAACATCACCCTTAAGTCGTACATTCGATTCAACGTGACCACGTACTTAACCAACTGGCCCAGGCAGTTAATGAACAGACACAACTGCTTTAGCTGGTTCTTGCGGTTATTTTCTCTTATGAATACGTACAAAATGCCTGGTCCCATGACGAACATTTGCAAGAAAAGGAAAATGGAAGCTATGATCCATTGCAGTATCTTCATATGAAAAGGAGATTCGATGGGAATTGGCCATACGCCGCTTACGCTCAACAGTAGCTGCACGAATTTTAAGGCATGTTTCAGGTCTCTCTCGGCCACCTTTGTTTTAATCATACTTTGTCAATGACTGAGAGGCCAAGCTTGACTGTCGGTACCGAAATGGCACTCGTCGCAACATCCCTAACGCGCTTGCGCTTATGAAATATTCAGCATCGATAACACTGAGTAGAAGTAATGCCAATCGGTTTTGAAAATGGAATGATTACATTTATTTTGAAATCGATTCTCAACGAATGCGCAAAAACTCGTCAAATCGCGAGACTTCCGCGTTTCTACGTGTCCAATCTAATAGTTTCTTTAGTTTCCTAGTCGTAGGAGGAATAGATCTTCCTATACAGGTATACAATTTTTCGTAAAAATAGAAATAATCGTGTTGGAATATTCCTACGAGATATTAGGAAAATCAAGTACTTATAGAAAATGGAAGTACTTTCTAGAAAATGTCTTTCATTTTTACAATTGCGAAACTTCCGAACATGAGTAATAACACCGAGTAATCGCAAAGAACTAGCGAATTCAAAGAAAACAAGCTGTTCGTGTATGTGTTATTACGTTTTACCAAATAAAATGGCTAACAAAACGGAAGAGATCGATAAACAAAGAACGTTCGTTATTTTGTTCAAAACATTTCTTTGTTTCTCTCTGTTTTAACATGATTAAATGACAATTATATCGTACGCGATGTGTTACATTTTACTCTTAATTACTTCATTCACGAATTCTTCTTCTCGAGTACCACTCAAACCCTTTTCACATTTCACACCGTCATCGCTCGTAGAAAGTTTAAATAGGTTGCAGAAGTTTTGCAAACCTACGATAATATTTTATTCCTTTATGTCGAGATTTCATTACTGATAAGTTGAAAAATGATTTATCAGAACTTACATCGCAAAATGCTAGAAGCGAAACATCCAGGAGCTTAGCACCGGACAAACCTGATGGTTGACTAGTTCTGATTATGATCGTTCTAATATCCTGTACAATATCTCCCGGAAAATCGTACCATGGTAGAAAGTACGTTGTTTCTCCGACTTTTCCACTCTTTTTAATAAATACAGTATGGTTGAGAGAAAAGGAGACACAAAAATTAATACAGTTTGTTTCAAATTGAATGTGTACCTCGTGTTTAAGTCGATCACCGATATACGATATTATAAACACGTTTACGAAGATCGATATCATTAAAAGAAAATATGTCAACGTGCTGAAGGGTTTATGTTCTTCCCATTCCTGAAAATAGTAGATTATAGCATCTCTCATCGTTTCATTTCTTTCCATTTTTTTTTGATAAAATATCATTCTCTACGATACCACGATCACTCCGTATTCCAGGAAACATATTATGACAGTACAGCCAACTATTTCCGTCAAAAATACGACACTTAACGAATTCCCAATCAGTGCAGAGTACCTATAATTCGATTTTCATACAGTATCGATACAAACCACCGAGAAAAATATTAATTCTGCGCTCTTACTCTATTGCTTTCAGATGGCACTGAACGATATCAACGACGCCATCGTGCAAACTTCGCGTGTCCCAAGTAAGCGTCTGGATTCTTCTATTGGTAACCTCGAACAACCCACAACAATGCATCGTTATGGAGGCGATCAAGCTGTAAATCCCACAATTCGTAAACAGTATAATAGTACTAATGACCATTTGCAAAACAAACGTGATCTCGTAGATAGGCGAGTCTTCGATCACGAAGAAAACATAGTTGCTGAGGTACGGCAAAGGAATCTGAGTGGTGTTATCCTTCTTGACTATCCTTTCTGACACCAGGGGTAGTATGATATGATAGGGCAAAGCACCGCTGTAGGTAAGGGCCAAATACACCATGGTAAAAAATCGACCGACCTTGGCGCTATTCTTCAGTACCAACCGATCTGCTTCGCATTCCACGTCCCTGTACTGTACTTCCATTTTCGTCAAGCAAAATTTAATTATTCTTCTGTTGACGATCAACGTCCAGAACTTGATGATCGCCAGAAGACTAAAAACCTGTGCTGCGATTACTTTCATGTATCTCGTCAGATCTTCGCAGTCCATGTAAGTATAAATCGCGTGCGGTATTAACAGGAAACACATGAGAAAGAAGATGATTCCTGTTTGGACGTATGTCTCGACGTTATCCAAGTACGTGTCGTCCCTAGGCCAGATCCCGATTATAGTTAACATCGTCTTAGCAACGTATATCACATACTCGGCGTCCGATTTGTAATGTACATTATAATAATTCGCAGCATTTTCGATCTCCTCGCTCATATCGGCCGATGATACAAACTTCCTGTTCCTCTAGCTTGCAGTAGGAAGCTTTGCAAGCGATTGCGAACTGCGTCGACAGGCGGCGCCTTTTGGCGCTTGCGTGCAAAGACAGGTATATCATTCGTAGACAAATCGTTGCAATCTTAAGAAACTTCAATGCGAAAAAGATTCCAGAATTTATTCGATATACAGGAAGTATATGCTATCAGTCATTAGACCAAGTACTCACTGCCACAAAGTAACGTATCCATTACGATCTATATGTACAACTTATGCTACACTGCATAAATAAATCGCGATTCCACGTTTGTCCACGTACGTTTACTCGCGTTTCGATCCATTTTTCGTAATGTCCTCGCGATTTTTTTGTAGCATCCGTGCAACTCGACCAATTTGTCTTCCATGTTTCCGGCCACGTAAGAAAGCTACTCGGAGGAAAGGGTAGTAAAGAGTAGTAAAAAGTAGTAAAGAGTAGTAAAGCTCTAACGCTGTCTTTCAATGCGATTTAACGTAACATTTGAGTCACAACTGTGCCACGTGTAATATTATCGACCTTGGCGATATTTTAATAACGGAAACATGAAATTTCTTGTAACTCCCCTTTAGCTGCACAATCGAGCACTGATTCGACGAAGAATGCAACGTATCGTTAACACTCATCGATAAGACAGTTTCTTTTCTACTATTATTGCGAAGTACGATAGCCACCGATGATTAGTATTGTCGACCGTAATTCGAGTGCTGATTACGGTAACAGTGCTGGTACGGTAGCTGTTAGTTTAAGTTGAAGGCTCCTAGTTTCACCATGGAGAACGACACCCGAAGTAAAGATTCTCATAGTGAGTAAAGCAAGAGTATACAAGGCAGCACTAAAGATTTGAACGTTTCACGGTGTTTTAGATTCGCTATGGATCATGCAAAAGGGTACAACGACGATGTTCATCGCCGAGATTTTGGGTACAGGGATACTTCTATTTGTTGGATGCATGGGTTCCCTCGGAACGATGGGGCCGATATTACCGCCGCCATTACAGACATCCATGGCGTTCGGTATGACTGTCAACCTTCTGATCATGGTAAGAAACAGTCAATTTCCTGTTTAAGAAAAAGCAACTAATTAGTTACGAAGGGTAGATTACGATATTGTGATTTTGTCTTTGATCTTACCATTGTAAAACGATTATACAAGTATAATTCTTATCACAGATGTTAGGGCACATAAGTGGTGCACACATGAACCCCGCTGTCACGATAGGCGCAGTGATATTGGGAATTAAAACTATTCCAACGGGTATAGTTTACACAATAGGACAATTCATTGGTGCTACCGTCGGATATGGATTATTGATGGTACGAATTTTTATTATCGCTTTCTTTGTTACACGTTTCAATAAAAAATAATCTTTTTCCCTTTGTATTTTGCTATAGCAATGTCACACGGTCTGTAGTATATTTTCCACTTACGCGTATTGTGTGTTTAATACATAGAAAATTTCGAAAACTGAACATATCGCATAATGCGTTATACTGGTATGACGCTGGTGTATACGTTCTGTGTAGACCGTTTGTGATTAGAAAATGAAAAATTGTTAGTGTCACGCACATCTGATATGAGATTTTCACGATAAATCACACACGTCACGCATACGTAACGGTTACATCGAATGTGTTAATTATCATGCAACGATTTAATTGCAATTTTTAATTGAACAGACTATAACTCCGCCCGAGTTGTTCAACGATGGATCGAACTCGACGATGGGACACTGTGTGACGGCAATTCATCCTGGAATTAGCATAACGCAAGCCATTTTAATCGAGGTTCTGTGCACATCGTTCATACTTTGCGCAGCATGTGCGACTTGGGATCCACGATGCGCGCACACTACGGATTCTACGGCAATAAGATTTGGTTTCTCCGTTGTTGGAATTTCACTTGCCGCGGTAAAAAGAGTTGATTGTTAAAAATACAGGATCGTCCGGAGTGCAGTACTAATGAAAATTTCAAAAATATATTTGTTAGAGTCCATACACTGGATGCAGCATGAACCCTGCGCGTACCTTCGGCCCCGCATTTTGGAACGGGAACTGGAAGGATCAATGGGTAAGCTTAATTTTATAAACAATACAATTTACGTACTATCTCTCAGAGATTTACAAATCTGCGTAGCGTACTATTTTATATAATCTCGTAATCTCCAGCTTCGATCTTCGTCATTTTCGATAAGAAACAAGTTTCCGCACTTTAGATTCCTCTTGTTAACGTTATCGGATCGGAGATGTTACCTCATAACTTCGAGAAAAGAGTAGTGCAAATATTTGTTCACCGATGCGTTGATTAGATTGTGTTATAAGTAACGATAATTTTTTTCTTTTTCTTTTCCATAAAAATTTCTGCAGGTTTACTGGTTTGGACCGACTGTTGGTGCTTTCCTTGGAACGTACACTTACGTGTTCCTTTTCGCAGAGAAGAAAGAAGACATGCAGAATGAACGTATCGAATTACTAGAAATGAAATCGGTTAAATCCTCGAGATACGAAGATGACGTGAATTCGATTAAAGGAAAAAATATCAAAGAGGAAAATCTCGAATTCATACCTCACAAAGAAGAAAACAACGCTTAACAATTTTTAAGGTACGACCAATACGGTTATCATCTGTCAGTAATCGTCTTCAGTGATATTCGATGTAGTTGACGACGCCTTCACAGGTGTCGCTGCACGCTCCAAAATGGCGCGGATTTGACTTGCATTTTTACGTCATTCTAATTCTTACGATGCTTGTATTATTTCAAAGAACAAATTAACGCTATTTGTTCTCTTTATTCATTAGTTTATCGTATAAATGTGACTTTTCTAATTACTTTACGATTATGTAATTTTAAGTTGTACGAATAACATGGTGATTCCATTAATTTAAATGCTTGAATGACAGCTAATAATGACTGAAATCGTGATACTAGTGGGAGAAAATGACATTAGTTTAAATAATACAAGAATTCGTATCGCTAACTTAAAAGTTCGCACGTTTGTACAGGAAAAATATATTTGAGTTGACTCAAACACTTGGTAAGACGTAATTTCTCTTAAATACGACATTCATAGCGATAAGATATAATTTTCCAAGTATTTTTCACTCGATTGCGGATACACCATGTACATATAAGCTTTCCATTTAAAATTATTTTCTCAATAATCTCAACGTCCTTGACAATTAAATCAATGTACTTATTATACACCAAGAATATAACGATTTTAAGAATATAGTCGTGACACAACGTTTATTCCTGACATGAGAATTTTGCGCAGCAGATGATATTCCCCAAGTACGTCGTCACAATGTGAATCGATAATGGGGCGGTTCGTAGATGCTTCTAGAATTTTAAGCTCCAGTCACACCTGTATCCTGCTTATTGGGGTTGAATTACTGAGAAACATCTACGCACCGATTGTACAAATATTGCTCTCGATTCGCGAATCTTGCGCATTTTAGAAAAATCCAATTATCGTATTAGCGGTATTTATATTCGTCGAATAATTCGTTTAGATTAAGCTGTTATTTTTACAGCGTGGCAAAGCCAACGTGTCTCTGCAATTTTATTACTTATGTACAAAGAACGTCGCGCCGATCCAGACAAAGCAGAGATAGGGTGAGCAGTATGAAACAAAAGTTTGTTTCTGCTGAGTTACGCTGTATCGTGTAATACGTAGACCGCGAGGAGAACCAATGGTTTTAAACCTATCATTAGCTTTGTTCTACAACGGGTTGATATTTTTTTGCGAAGGATATTATTAGGACGTGCAATTGCTATCAGTTCCAAACGTATAATTAATTCGGGTAAAACGGGGAGCAACATTAACGAACAAATTAGACGTTTGTCAAAGATTTAACTGTTCTCTCATGGACTCGCTCTTTTAAAGCCCTCTAATGATACACCTTTTACAGTCCGTTTTCGTGTATTTTCCTGCGCGAACGATACCGGAATTCTAACCGCAGCGTGTTGACAAAAGAAAATGGAATACAAAACGGGGAGACAGTTCTCAAGTTATCTGAAACCGCAGAACATTAATCGCATTCCGGCCTGGCTACGCGTATCTGTATAAATTATAATTAACGGAGCTCTGCACGATTATTTGGACACGACATTTCCAGTTTATTTTATGCTTTGTACGATTCCAAACATGTCATCGGGACTTTACTTTCCCGAGGTCGTGGCTAATTGCATGTTTAAATGCAACTTCATCCGTTCAAAAGGAACGACGAAAGAGTACACGGTCAAAAGCATGTCAGTGTATAGAAACAAAAAGCACCGTTTTGTATTTAGCGTATAAAACGACTCTTTCTCTCTTTCTCTCTACGTGTATATACGTATACATAACACACAAGAGCGCGAGACAAGTACACATACACGTGCGCGCACACTCGTATACGTATATGTATACACCATGTATAAAACTCGACCGCTGCAGCTATTGATTACCTACTGCATCCGTCCGTGGAACGTTCTAGAGAGACCGAGAGACCGAAGCACTTGAAATACGTTATATACGGTCTCTTTTAAATTCATTCTTTTCCACGTTCTCAACCATATTATTTCACTCGGTAAAAATAAAACTGGATGCTTATATATACGTAGTTTCGATTAAATCTTCTAGCAGAAACTTATAGCAGAATTCAGGCCTCGTTTTGATACTCGCTCGATAGGAAGATGGCTGCTTCGTTGCGCGTAGCAACTGCCGATAAAAGATAATTCAGGAACGTGAACGGCCACGACCCGCAAGGTGTACGAACGTTATAAACGTCACAATGCATCGAGCTATATAAAGACGCGCATCGCTAGCTACATGCTAGCTTCTAAATATATCCGACGACCTCACGGTTGCATAAACGACACAACTAAATTTACGGTATTCAATGCGGGACGAGCGCCGTCTGAGTATATCGAATCGTTGTGTAGCCACGAAACCGTATCGTTCCAGAATGTTACGGGTCCGTGCACCTGAAGGAGCGCATTGAAAACATTAGGAGACACGCGGTCTGCATCCGGCTGGATGCGTCGACCGACATATTCCGGTTCCATTCTTGCCTCTCCTGCTTGCGTGCGAATCTATCACGAACATCTGCGCATTATTGTATTCCCGTTTCTACGACCAGGCCGGCCGGCAGTTTCCTTCTTTATCCTTGTCCCCACGAAGTTAATCCCGTTTCGCTATTCCGTCTATTATACGTTTGGAAAACGTACAAAAGACCCCATGCCAATGGGTATACCGAGCGTCTTGGCCACGACCCTTATTCCCATGAATAAACTCGTATCAATTACGCGTCTTTTAGCCAAGACACCGTGCACCTAGGCCAGAAGACGCGCTGGGAAAATCGATAGAGCTACAGCTGTCGCGCGAAGCCTGTATTGCGCAATAATACGTGCCCTTTGCGTAAAGACGAAATGCATCGGGTTTGGAAGATCGTCGCGTCGCGTAATTATGCGAACGCGATAAAATTATCGCGTGATTAGCGTGTCACGTTACTTTTCCGGCCGTGGTCAACCGCAATAACCTCGGTATGTTGACCCATGTCGCGTTATATGTGGCTCACGTGTGTTTGCAAACACGATGCCATCTATTGCGTCATATGCGCTGGTATTACGGCCACGCCTTTGAATTATCTTAAGGTAACGAGCTTCCTTCTCTTCTTCTGCGTCACTTTTTATCCTACCTTATCGACCGAATTCGTTTCCAGTAACATATGGTTGCGAATAACTGCTCAGTTTTGCAGATTTACGAAAAATTATGTAGCAATTCGGTGAACATTTGCTGAATGATTCCGACGAAAAGGAATATTGCATCACCATAGCGTCTATATGAACAAAGATATGCTGTCTCGCTTATTCTTGCGGAACAATAAACTGCAATCTTATCTCCGACTATTAAAGCCAATAGAAACGAGAGAAACGTTCATTCGAAGCTTAGATACTCGTAGAATATAAGCCGACGATGTAGGAAACCATGTTTCCTAAAATTCCGTCTTTATACCGCTAAGATAATTAACGAGAGGCGTGACTCAGCCTGGAACGTTCTAGAAACACGCGTAGAAACTTCGACCGTTAAGGGCGACCTCGGACTGTCCTTGATTTCGGGAATTACGTATTTTCTTGGTATAGCCCTTTCCCCTGACGTAACGACGAAAACAAACAGCCAAATAACACGAGGTTAGTCGTTCCTTGTTTCCATCACGCACGTATTTCAACCGTTTTAACCGTACAAAACCGAGAAGGAAGAAGCGTTCGTTTGTGTGAGTTAGGTTATGGTGGGGTTAGGTGGGAGAATGTACCAGAAATCTCGTCTCTCGCTTCCTCGATCAATACTCGGTTTTTCCTTATTTTTTCCCCGAAAACACGGAAAATCGGAATGATCTTATAATAAAACGATAGCTCTCGACACGAGAAACACGGTGGTATTAGTGGCTCCTGGATAACCTATGGAAAATCGACGAAATCGTACGTGAAAAGAAAATGCGCATTAGGTGCCGGTTGCCGGTGCAACTTCTCGAACGTTCAGCACTGCGACGCCGCACGCCTATATAAGAGGGCCGGCCGGCTTGACTCGGCGCATTCGTAAACAAACTTTCGTTCAGTTCGGACGCAGAGAACACCCGAAGACCCACCAACCAGTGAACATACCTCTACTTTCTTTTACGTGGTCCACGAGGCTGCTGACAACACGACGTGAAAATGTAGACGAGACGGATCGGTGCGGAGCGCGACAGTTTACCGTGGGTATTCCTTCAAATTTTTTTGTTTTCTTATATTTTATTTTTTTTCTTTTTTTTTTTTTTTTTCTTTAAATCGTAGCCCTTTGGTTTGGCTTTTTGAAAATTTTTGGAAGGCTTCCGCTTCTGTGATATTACTTTTGTTTTACGAACAACTGAAATTTATACAATAAATAAATGTTATATTATTGCGTAGTATTTGCTGAAATTGCGTAGTCTGGATCGTTGCTGAATTCAGTTGTAACTGTACACGTAAACCAAAAGTAATACCGTTGAAGACGGCCTGGTATTTATGAAATTTGGGTATCTTGTATAAGTATATTTTAACAAATAACTGGATTTTCTCATGTCTCGTATTTTATCCTCTTACGACGATTTAACCCTACGGGGTTTAAAAATTTCTATATATTATCAAAATTTTTTATCCGATTTTAATTCTTTGTGCTGTTGCTACGCAAATCTACATTATGGTAATACGTATGACTACGTAATGCTTAAATGTAAAAAATAATGGATAATTATTGCGTTAGAAAATATTTCGGGGGCAATATTACTTTTCTTCCGTGGTCGTTTCTACTTTGATTGGTTTACTTGCTGGTTCTCCTGTTTTCACGATATCGATGATTCGTCCAGTTTCGCTAGGCGTTTCTCCCTGAAAAAAATATACGATAAATTATACCTCGTTACATAGTAAAGAGGGATCACGAAACAGAGAATCAAAACGAGGCTTTTTATATTTGTTTTTATAGTGCACCCTACGGGGTCGGTGCTTGAACAATCCGTACGCAACCATAATCTGGTCTGATTAGAGTTCGAAATTTCCTCACACATTTTGAACAATTTGAGAAGAGCACCTCGAGATACATGCTATTAGGTAAGCGGTTATTGAACCGATGTATTTAACTCTCCTACAATCTTAACGTTAATAATATAAGATCACCGAAAATTAACATTTAGGGCTCACGGTGTGTCGCTACTTAAATCATTCCATTCAAAATGCAATTACTATTGAAAATACTATAAACGAAGTATTGATTAGAAATTCTGAAATATTTCATACGTTGAAGAAATATTTTGTACCGGAAAGTTGGTACGGTGGTAGCGTCACTCCAGCCTGTTTAGTTACGCATCCACTAGATGTCACTCTTAGTGTTTCTGTGTTAAATAGGAATTAGTGTATTTTCACGATGTCTGCTCAGTGTTGAGAGAATCGTAAAGTACCGATTCGTTTAATACACCTCGATGAGGAGCACTCGCTAGTTTCTAACTTTATCGATTTTAACTAGTTCTAAGTTGCCTTCGCCCAGACTTCATATACATATATATATATTCTCTGTCGGTAATGTAACTCTCTATCCGGTTTCGAGTCGAGCTTGTTTAAAGAGGTCGCTCCTTGGATTTCGAGTTAAAGTCGATAAACGCGTTGATATTTCTACGAATGTGCCTCATCCACGTGAAAGCCTTTAATACAACGTGTCACGTTCTTTTTATAGTTTAGAGCAGACTCGTAGTTTGAGGTCGAGAAAATATCGTCGGCTCCATCTTGTCTAAACGAATACTACCACGAGGGCAAACGGAACGTTGGAATTGAGAACAAAAAGTACACAGAATCAAATAGAACGGGAAAAAAACGTAAAAAAAAGAGCTAGAAAGAGAACCGGATCATTTTCCTAGTGCGCTGCTCTAGCTTTTGCGAACCGAGACACGTCGGGCGAGTTCCTTTGCTCGGATTCGCCACCGAGCTCTCTTCGTCTCTTTACCTTTTTGGGTGCCGTGATAGTTAAAACACCATCCGAAGAAAGGCTCGAGGTAATATCGATCACGTCGTGAGATGGAGGCAAGACGTATCTCCGTATGAAGTGTCTGCTGACAAATCCGTGCTCGTCTTGCCTCTCCTCGTGTTTGGCTTCGACAATAACGTTGTTACCGACCGTCTTCACCGTGATCTCCTCCGGTGAAAATTGTTGAACGTCCAGTATTACCTGTGCAGATATCAGAGCGAAGCATTTTGAGACAGACCGGGAATTAAAAGGTCGAAAACACGGGCGATATATCTTTTTCTGGGAGCACGATGTTGCGTGTAATAGATACGATGTATCACAGAAGCTATAACAAAGATCCAAACGACCATTGAATACATCCGATTCTGGGCCGCATCTGTCTATAATATACCCGCTCACTCTCTACGATCATCGTTTATTGCGAAAGTTAAGTATCAGGCTTTTTACACCGATTATCGGGAGAAGCTTGCTCGTTTAAATTAACGCCGCTTTTTAAGCAGGCGAAGTTTAGACTTCGCCTGCTAACCGAAACTACTTGTACAATTCACTCGTTAGCTAATACCAGCCTGTTTATACTTCGAAATAATTTCTTCTTCCGGAAGAGCAACCTTTGGGTATCCGGTTGTTGGATACCACAAATTTCAGCCATTATTAGCTACCATACGCACAACCGTTTCTAAAGCTTCTGACCATTCTAAAGTAATATAACAGTACTCGACGGAAGAGAGTAAATCGGTGAAAAGTATAAGAAAATCCGTTCTTCCGGTAAACGCGAATTATCCTACGACAGAGTAGGCTTCTCTAATCACGAAGGTCGTCGGAGTCTAACGACATGCAAACGTAATAGGAAAATGTAGGAGATAAATCTCCCCCAGCTTTTTCTACTTTCTCCCGTTTGCAAAGTTTTCGCTTGATTTTTTTTCTTTCATGTAACAGCCAGAGTTTTGTAAATTTCGATTTTTCACCAAAAATAATAGACGTCGAGAGCGTGCAAACCGGGAAGATGTAGCTGACAAGCACCGCCCATTTGTAACATCGTTTCTCCCCTCCCCCCCCCCTTTTTTTTCGTTTATTCGCCGGAGAGACGAGCAAAGCACATATGCAAAGTAGGTGAGATAATTTATTGCTATTGAGCAAAACGAAACAGAATTGTGTCGCGTTCACACGCGTGTTTTTTACTTTGACAAACAGATCCTATCGTGGTTAGCAGCTTCGCATTGTAATCGAACAGAGAGAGAGAGAGAGAAAGAGAGAGAGAGAGAAAGAGAGAGAGAGGAAGAGAGAGAGGAAGAGAGAAAGAGAAGAGAAACTTTGATAGTTGCGGAGAGAAAGGGAACCGCGGTTCTTCGGGTGATCCTCGCGTGATCCCGAGAGCCGGCGGGCTCTTTTTAAAAGTCAAAATACGAGATGAAAATACCTGACAAACGAAATAGAGGAATGTCTTGAAGGTTGTAATACGACATAACCTTCGCTTTCTTTCGTACCTCCAGCAAAATAACAACAGACCAACAGAGACAGATTTTAAATCTCGAGTGCTGCTGCATTATTGTATACAATGAGAACAAGAGACGTTGCGCGCCTTTATTTTTGTATATATAGAATATTTCGTATTCGATTGTTTTCTATGGTCTTATCGTTGACGATTCGAGAAGCACTTATTTTTATATAGAGATTATTATATATAGCGAAAAGAGAGATCCGAAAGTTTTAAGGGAAAGCTGTTTTTTAGTCCGAGAGCGGACGCCCCCGTTTCAGGGGGGGGGTGCTCCGACACACACACACACACCTCACACTTTCTCGGTTCTTTCTGTAAACAAAGATAAAAAGAAGACTGATGATACCTACGTGACACGATCCACTTTTCGGATTTTAAAGAGAAAAAAGAGTTCGTCCTCTTTGAATATTTCCAAGATAAAAATATTTGGCACGGTTTGTTGAGCGCGGGAAAATACAAATCCTTTCGTGAATTTACGAGACAAAAAGGAAAAAAAGAAAACAAGTATTTAAAAAAAAAAGGAAAAAAAAATGGCGAAAACCGGTTAAACTGTGATTTTTTAGGAAGGAACTTCCGGTATTAAAAAGCGCGTGTCTGCCAGAAAAATAGTCGCGTGTACGTTCGGAGTGTGTAAACGTTTCTTTTTCTACAAATTTTAACAATTTTTTGCTACTCGAGTCGATTTTGAAGAGAAAAAAGAAAATAGTTTTCGAGACCTGACTTCATCCTACCAAAAAACATCTTTTTAAGCCCCCCCCTCTTCCTCCCGGGAGGGGGGTTCCTCTGTACAAAAGAAAAGAACCAACAACCAAAATTTATAATAGTCCCGAAAAGCGTTCCGAATCTTTACACCACTACGCAGAGCTGTGAATCATTTCGAAAAAGGGGATCTAAACGTAAAAAGAGAAACAAATTTGTTGGATATGTCTCTGACATATCAGAATCGAGATAGAGAAATTATGCAGCGAAAAAAGAACATGTTGGGGAAAGGCAGCAGCAGCCGCAACATCTGCAGTAATAGCAGTAGTCATAGTAATAGTAGTAGTGGCAGAAACAGAAATCGGTTTTCGGGCCTTCTGGTGTTCCAGTCCTTACGTTCATTTCGTTAACCGTATTCCCTAATAGTGGCCGTTTATTTCTAATTTTTTAATTTTTTTTCTTTTTATTTTACTTTTTATTTTACTTTTTTTTTATTTCTTCCCCTCAGTTGCAATTGCTTTTCATTCGATGATAATAGTAGTTCTTTGTTAGAACGTTACGTTCGTATAGTTACTTTTCGATCGTAGAGATATCTGATTAATCCCCCCCCCCCCTTGGTTCGTGTTACTGAATTTTTTCCCTTGCCCGATATTTTCCTTTTATTTTCATTATACTTTCCTTAGAATCCTACGTCACCACGTTTATTTTCCTCCGTATTCCTTTTACGAATGCGCTCGTTTCATTGCGTTCCTTTCCTTTCTTATGCGTATTTCTCTTTTGGGTCTTGAAAATATTCGAAACATCGGGATTTCGAGAATCGAGGTTTTTAATTTTATTCGGTTTTCTTACGTTCGTGTGGAATACGCGTATTTATTTCAAAACACGTTCCGTACTTACTGGATGCGACACCTACGGTAAAAATCTATAAAGGACAACAATATAAAAGCAAGGTTATCACTTTAGATTGTCTCAGCCTAAGTTTAATCGACAAATAATCGACAATTAATGGACAGAATCCGCTCACTGTATTAAAATACACTTATTGCACGGTATTACAGAAAAGAGAGGCGCTAAAAACTGGGCCAGTAAATGTTTAGCCTGTTCTAATGCAGTGTATTCAAATTATTCAACATATTTAGCTTGTGACTATAACAACATACTGTTACATAAAAGAAGCTTTCAACTAATCCTTTGATATACCGAACCGAGAGTTACTAAGTTACAACGCTTATATAAAGAAGAGGAAACGGAATAAAGTAAATTTGTATTCGGTGTGAAACAGTTATTAGGGGAGAAAAAAAGAAAAAAAAAAGAAAAAAAAAAAGATACAAAGATTGTGTGTGGTGTGCTTTTAAACATTCTATGCTCGAAAGGTTAATATTCCAGGCGTTTTATCCAGTTTGAATTGTGAAAAATACCAATACGTAGTTACAAAGAAAAATAACTTTCCTGATCTTTGAAGCTTTGTATTAAGTGTGTATATATATATATATATATATACATATTATATATAGCGATATTTTGAAATTAATTTTTAGAGGTTCGCTTCTTTTCGGTGACTTTCATCGATACACACTCTTGAGGGTGAGCCAACGTATAAACTACCAGAGAAGGAGTAATCTTCGGCAACTTTTGTATGGTGTAAAATCTTGTCGAAACTTTCCCACACTTTACATACGTATTCTTTAACATTTCGAGATAACTTCGTTCTTTTTTCATTTCTCTCGGTTCAGTTTTGACTCTTACGAAAATTATTAGCCTTGTTCCTCATATGAACCTTTCTATCGATCAAAGCAACGGCTATCCCATCGCTTTCCGGTTCTGCCTGACAGTTATGGGATAGTCGTTGTCTGTATATTTTCGTGGTGCTATAATAACCATACAAGGGAAGCCAACGCTCGGTGAATTTTCAAAATCCGATGGAATAATAGCAATAAAACTTACATGTAAATAGAGCGTTAAATTTCAACAAACTCCAGAGACACACGCGTCTATCTCTGGGGTGTACTTGCCGCGGAGTTGCTCCGAGTCGTGTGTCGCATACATTTCTACGTATTATTATATTTCGAACTCCGAAGAAAACCACCATCGTTCTATTCGAGGAAGACGCGTTGCCAAAACGTTCTTGAAATAACGCGACGAGAAGCTTTTTCTTCAGGTTTAAGGAACCAACGCGCGTTTCGAACGTTCTTCAAATTGAAAAGTAACGCGAGAAGCTTTCCATAAGTCCAAAACTCATGCGACACTAAAGGTTTCCAATTTTTCTTTTCTATTTTTTTTTTTTTTTTTCTTTTTTTTCTTTTTCTTTGACTCCTTTTCTATAGGATTTCACCTAATTCGTGAGATCCTATAGAAGACGAGGGACCAATGCGGCGCCACCCCCCTTGCAGCAGTACTTTTTCATCGCAGGTATTATAACAAGTGAGAATTCACGACGAATAGAATCGCGGTGTAGCATCCAGAGGTCCTCCATTGTAGCACCAAGCGTTTAATCACGATTCGAGGTCACTTTTCGTGCATTGCAGCGAATTACGGAGGGGTTTCCACAGTAAACGTTACGCGGGGTGTGCTATTTAACGCACGAGAGTAAAGCGTTGAAATCCAAGTGTGCCCCACACACGCCCCTCCTCGAACAACGATTTCGCGTGTGACAATTTGTATTCGTTCGATCGACAACTTTCGGTGACCATCGGACGAGTCGAGTAGATTTTCAACGAATAATTACTACCGATAAAGAGAAAGAAAAGAGAAGAAATTTGACACATTCCAACATAGCAAACATATAAATCGCTTGCTTAGCCCTAAAATCGGCATCGAATAAAACGTAAAATAGATGACACACCAACTCCGCAGAATTCGTTTCTTGCAAGCATATTCTACATAGTACTATCGACAGAAATAGTAACAGCACATACAACATCAGATTACCTGAGAACGCGTGCCAACTAAATTCGAAATTATTCAGGGAAAGTCTAAAGTTCAAATCTAAAGAAAGGGAAAAATCAAGACGGTTCCACTACCAGATTTGGTGGTGACACGATAAAAAATATACCTTCGGATCGTAACATCGATTACTGGCATATTATTCGTTTCGATAATCCAGTAAGTTAATTGTAGTCTTCCAAGAGATCACATTTGACCCGTATCCATAGTTACCACTCGAAGCAGAAGGTAGTCGTAACCATACCTATTGTCCCTGACAATCGGTGTGGTTCGGTACCATCGAGTGATAACTATGGATATGGCTCGCGATTCTCTGCAAAACAGAGCCTTGACACCTAGAGTCGCTGCATTCGATTCTCGATGAATAAGAAAAACGACAATACTAGTAATAGCAATACCTCCACCCTACTATACGTCTCTTTCGCTACTCGACAGCAAAAGATATTAGGGCTAACAAAACCAATACCACAACAGCTCAGCCTCTTCGCATCCACTCTCATCATTGGAACACGCTCATGAAACCACACACCAACGAACCTTTAACGAACCACCAACACCGATTCTTCTTGCATATACCACATCACGAGAATCTTCAGATCCAACAACAATCTTACGATCCATTCGATATATCCTGCAAGAACACATCCTGCAAGAACACATCCTGCAATCACCACCATATCCTCTCTAGGGCTTTGCAAGGGAAAGTTCCGAGTTCGGTTTGCAATTAATCACGAGGAACGGTGGACAGATCACGCGAGAGATAATATTTCGCTCGTATATTTTGCGAAAGAAAAAAACACCCGAAGAAGAAACTCGTATATTTTGCAAAAAAAGAAAAAAAGAAAAAAAGAAAAAAAAAAGAAAACACCCGAAAGTAGAGAGAGATCGTCGATGAAACTGGACGTGTCCACACTAACCTGGAAATTGTCCTTGCCGTCGATCTGAATCGTGCTTGCTCCGCCCGATTGCTGACGTACCACGTTCCTCCATGGACGGTAGTACCTGTCGCGAAATATCGAGCGAAGAGGTCTGTCGAGGTTGCTGAGTTCGGAGAACCTTGATATCAGGTCGTCGCGATTCAGCCCTCTGCCGAAGTGTTGGTCCATTATTCGGGACACAGGTCGATCGAAATCGTCCCACCAGTCACGAAATATCAAAGGCACCACCGACATCTGAAACGGTTATGGAGCAAAGAGAAAAATTAACAACACGAAATCGGTCAGTTCTTGCTTTTCGACTCCAGGACGGTATAGTAGTAGGATATATAGACATCGCGCCACGATAAAAAAAAAAAAAAGAAAAAAAAAATGGTATGGACGAGAACGAGGGAGAGAGTAGTACGAGGAGTTGTGATAGATACGTGGTTAAATGTATACTACGAATTTAAGGCTGTTGTGTAAGCTGTTTTTACTTAAGAACGTAGTAGACACAGATTCTTTTGAGCTTAAGACAAAAAAAAGAAAAAAAAACGAAAAAAAAAAAAAAAAAAAAAAAGCAAAAATCGCACACGCAGGTTGTTGCGGATATTAATAAGTAACACGATGTAGATTCATCTCGGGCAACGAGTGTAGAATTTGATAAATAATCCTGATACTGGACCGCAAAACACATCCAAGATAGAAATATTATATAATTATACGGAACTGACTCCATTTTTCCGCGAGTCTTGCTTCAAGTGTAGCAACTTGAGGACGTGTTGCGGGATCGCAGGGGTTGTTCCGTTCGACAAAACGATCAAGAAAATAAATCAACGAGAAAACTGACGAGTACAAACGACACCGTGAGAGTTGCTATGACCGCAAATTTTAGCTAGCATAGAGTTTTAAATGTCTCGATTTTAGCACAGCAAACGTTCACAACACCGTTCTATATTATCGTTTACGCGTTTCCTCGAGTGCATATCTCCGTCGACGAATATAAGGTTTAGGTCTTACACGAACGCACATCAGGCGATATTTAGGAGGCTATATTAAGTACATATAGGGCCGTAGCAATTCGTTTCGAATCTTTTTCGCACCGATAATCTATATAATTCGCGTGGAAAACGGATAGCCGACAGCGCAAACCGGACACTATTTAATCTTTCGCTGTGCTTTAGGAATCCTTGCACGCGGATACAATTCGATAGTCACGTTTATACATATTCCAACACGATGAAAATAACGCGATCCGACTATTTCAAACGATAAGGTAATAAATCGCGAGATAAAGATATACGTACAATCCGATATAACAATCACGCGGGGGATAATCGTGGATGATTCGACGACGAATTCAAAATTCTTGATTCAAGATGAAAAATGAAACCGGGAGAGATGGGATTAATATCGTTACTTCGACGAGACGAATCGCACACGTGTGGTAGATTTTACGCCAACCATCCGCGAGTAACGAGAATTTCTGTTCAGAATTTTAGCAAGAACCGCGTGACGAATTTCTTTTTTTTTTTTTTTTTCCCCCTCTTTTCTCGTAGGAGGAAGATGGCGGATGCGTTTCTTCGGTGAAAATGGGTGTGCACGTTTGCGAGAAAGCGTGGTCGTAAAACATTTTAGGAGGTTAGAAAGGGGGTTATAAAACGAGAGATAATAGGACATTATTGCATTTCCATCGAATTACGCATAATGTAAGTTATACCGCAACTTAGGTTACGTGTTAGTAAGAGTTAGGTGTTTAGGGAAAGGACGGAGGACAAAGAAAAATCGTAACAGGGCCCCAAACAGGCACACCACCCTTGTTTCCTAGGGATAGTCGAAGCGAAGGTGTAAGAGGTGGCCAGGAGGTGGTCGCATAAATCGTGTATACACCTGCCACGTATACGCATGTTCGAATCCCGACTACAGAAAATACCAGAGTTACGCGAAGATCGAGGAGACTCTTTGAATTGGAAAATCGGGTCGAAGAACATAGCAATTACGTTCCTCGATCGTCATCTATATTTCGGCATTAAGAACGTTTCTACTGATTCCTACGATCATCGAAAACCCGTTGAAACTGAACAAAGAAATGCAATAATAACGTACAGTGAGGAAAGGAAATAATCTAATAACGTGTTAAAGCGACGAGTTAGGGAGGAGAGAGTTAGGAGAGAGTTGTTAGGAGAGAAAACTCGGCGATAGGCATAGCGAGGAAAGAATGGAAAAGCGCTGTTTTTCGATAAAACGCGTGTCATCGCTGTAGCGCGAAAGGCGATGATGAATACACACTTAGCTGTTAAATCATGCTTTTCGACGATTGCATTTTAACGTATAAGTTAGTACGCTAAGTTTCCAAGTGCTACTACTATCATTACTACTACTACTACTACTAAACTACTACTACTTAACAAATTTCGACGTTACGAGAAGGGAAGCTATTATCCTCGATATATTCATGCGCGAAACTTCGTTAGTGTTTAGTAAGGGGATGAAGGGGCGCGTGTCGTGTAAACGCGCGTGTCGTGTAAACGCGCGTGTGGTATAGAATACGAATCCTGACTAAAGAGAATAACGTGTTAGTCTTTTTCATGAACAAGTCGCCCGCGTCGATCACCATCCTGTGTACGCGCGCGCAGCAAACGGATAATATCGTCGACAATAATCGATTAACATAACACGAATAATCGTTACATTCAAATTTACGAGACGTGTGTCGCGCGAGAAGGTGGATAAGGAAAATAAAATGCGACTTAGTAACACCGTTCCTTAGAGTTTAAGGATTTCTAATCGACACTTTCGAACGGATCAGAGGGGCGTGTAGTAGACTTGTACTAGTCCTTAAGTGCAGCTTAGGATCCTTACTACTTTAGGTTACACTTCACGTACGTATGAGGTGTCGTTGCGCGTTTCCTTTTCGTCCTGCAAAGAAGTAAGAACACCGACCGATTCCACTCGACTCCACAATTACGAGAATTACGAGAATTACGTGAATTACGAGAATTACGTGAATTACGAGAATTACGTGAATTACGAGAATTACGTGAATTAAGGGAAAAAGAGAAAAGTGAATATAAGATACACGACGATGAAACGAGTCGTCGTAATTCTAAACGCGGGGAGAGCTTAAGCTTCTTGAAACGTCCAAGTAAACTAATCGCACCGTTGATTCTGTTTCTTTTCGGGAAAGTGTGCGAAATTTCCTAATAGCAGTCGTGACGAAACCTCGAGAAAAGCCCCGGTACACATGCACACACACGCATATACATATATACACACACCTTCGAATCTTTTTGCGACTCGTGGAAGAATGAAACCGGAGCTGAGAAATAATTCACACGGTTCAGGGATACGAATTTCGACTATCTGACTGAGCCGAGGAAGCGCGAGCAGCTTAAATAGGCGTCTACGGACGCGATAGAGTAAGAGACAGAGGAGTCAGAATTTTCAAATACTCCCACGATGGTTCACGTCACGTTTACTGAATAACGCGTCTAGAAATACACCACCCGATGAGAACGTATTTAAAATGCGAGGAGGGGCAGAATTTTCAAGAGTGCGTAACCCAACCTGTGATTCAGTGTTTTGGATAATTTTAGCACGCTGCATATATGCGTGTGTGTACCCGTGGAACTCGTCTGTTTGCCTCCCGAATTTCGTGGAGCGCTGCGCGTTTGCTATGTAGAGAGAGACCTCTGTACCAATGGAAAAGCGCCACCCTTACACGGTGATGCATTCGAACTTTACTTCAGGTGTATTCGATTCCTAGCTGTTTCCGTTCGAGGTGTGTATATTCACCGGAAAGGGGCGCGACGTTGGAGTCGCGTAACGATTAATTCCGGTGCCAGACCGCGATGGTGGTTGGGGTCCCATGACGATTAATTTCGGTGCATTTCGGTGCATTTCGATGCATTTCGGTGCAAGGCCGCGATGATTGGGTCCCCCATAACGATTAATTTCGGTGCCAGACCGTGGCGGTTGGGTCCCAAAACGATTATTCGGTGTCGGCCTTCGATGTTGGGTCCCATAACGATTACTCTGTGTCAGCCTTCGATGTATATGTCATGACTACTGTTGCAATCGCGTCTCATTTGTCCTCGAAACGTCATTAGGAGTGTACGATTCGTTCGCGATACGTACGTGCTGGTGAGGAGTTCTATACGTCTAACAAGTGCGTAAACAAGTAAGAAATGTTAAATAAAAGAACACTTTGAAAACCGTTATCGATTGCTCTTGCGAGTGGATAACGTTGGAAGAGAAGTGGATAAAAAATCCCGACGAGTCTCGGGGTCTCCTGGGACCTCGGTGCTTGTCAACCAAAAAAAAAAAAAGAAAAAAAAAACAAATGCAGAATTAAAAGGTACATAAAATAAAGGTTCGTTTTTAGGATATGTGTTTCCAAATAATCAAGGACGGTCTATTTACGGATTATTATACTCTACGTTATTATAATTCATAGCGTATGTATTGTTACTTGCTAGGATACGTGTTATTTGGCGAATTTTCTTTTCTACTTGGCAAGCAAGTGCGAGAATGACGTATGTGATGGAAGAGTATTTCTGTGTAACTATTCGATTAATCCCTGATATATGGTAGAGAGCATTGAATTATATACGTTCTTAACATTTACACGCCTTTAACTATTACCACTACTACTACTACTGTAACACGAGAATTTCAACTTTCGCGACAATTGATTTGCGGTTAATGCAAGTTAGATTATCATAAACGGTATTATGCCACCTTGTCCAACGAGATATGAATGAACGGAGAACGATTTTAATTGCGCAAAGATTAAACGAACGTAACGCGAGGAGAAGAGCGCTTGTTAGCGGATGAAAAGAGTAATAATGGTAGATTTATAATCATATAATGCAGGGTACGTTAACTTAATTTTACTCTTTAAGTTGATTAAACACCTCGGAATAGAGAACTGAATAAACTTACTACTATACTACTATGCGGCATTATAGTGATAATATTAAATAGTAAGCTTAACGATTTTTAATAAACCATTTAGGTAACGCGTAATCGACCAAATATTTACGATAATGAATATGTAATAACTCTCTTTCAACCTTCTATAATTCTCAACGTATTTCCGTGTTTTTCTCAAATATTTATGTGTTTCCGGGCATCTGTGAAAATCGATCAGAGCTCTGGGGGGGATCAACTTCGGCATACAACACCATTAGCAGAGGAAAAAAGTACTATCTGAATAATTATAATATAAAAGCTCTGCCTCTTTTGTCCATATTTATCAACTTAGGCTGTAATAGAGTTTAACGTGTTTCTTTAATACTGGATAAAACGACTTTGATTATTCGTGTGTCAGGGAGAGAGAGAAAGGATGAGAATGGGAGAGAGAGCGAGCGAGAGAGCGAAAGAGAGGATACATTTAGGAGCTAATCTGCGTGGTATACACATATTACAAGCTATATCGTATTAAATATTATTAACTAGTTATTTGTAACGATCCACTTGTATTAATTTTTGTGACTTGGTAACCGAGTTTGTATAACCGATTTATCTATCAGTGTGTAATCTTCCACGATAACGGCTTTCACCGGAAGCGCTATATTTTTCCTAACTGCTTATGTTTACAGTATACGGAGAGAAGCATAAAAAAAAAAAAAACTGAATTTCTCTTCGATTGAAACAATGATCCGATCACACTATGTATCTGCACAACACATACAATGTTTATGAGTGTTAGATTTTCCTCATAGGCATCGTACAATTAAGCAACAATGTTTATGAGTGTTAGATTTTCCTCATAGGCATCGTACAATTAAAATAACTTTCTCTATATGTAACCGTCGTAACAAACAAGCGTGTCGAAACGAAAAAATTATATACAAGAGAGAGAAGAGCATAACATATATGCGCGAGAAATTTTGCTGATCCAAAAAACGAGAATCTTCGATATATATTTAATATCTTTGTTCCGAATTGTGTAACAGTCTCTGTATCACACTTAGCTGTTTAGGCCCGCACAACACTTCCTTTTATTGGCTGAGGGAATCAATAAAGTGAAATCCGACGTAAAAAAATATTCTTTTAATTCAAATCAACTCTCACCTTCCTGGAGATCAGGTAAAATGTGTACTTTATCAATTTTTCTGCAAACTAACAATTTTCTTGAAACGTTCAAATAAAAGATGTTGGAATTAAACAAGCGGAAAATGGATAAATTGGGCTTCAAGAAATTTGACAAAATTCTGCTACGATATGATCGATTCACACGATATTCCAGCTTAAAAATTTCATTTCTACCATTTAATCGGGTTCAATTGGAAGATTTTATACTTAACAGATCAATATGATGCAACGTGAATAAGAGAATGTGTGTAACAACTCGTATGATTATTCACGGTCGTCTGATTGTTGGAAATTATTATTTTTGATAATATGTGTGTGTTCCGTTGGTATATTTAGGAAAAAGAAATGAGTAAGGAACCGAAATATTTTTACGACCATGAGCCCCTCGCATTTCGTTCCGTGGTGTCATGAACTTAAAATAGGATGGACTTTCACGAAAGTCAGGAAGACGTGGTAGATAATAAAAGATAATAAAAGAGAAACGAAGGTAGTTGAATTACGTGCTTTTTCTAAAAAAAAGAAGCTTACAACTGCACGACGTGTTATTGTCGTATTTATTTATCTCTATTTCTTAAATATTACGAATATTTTACAAATCGCTTGTACAGAGCTTCTGCGTTTGGGACGGACGAAAGAGTATGTGAGGGGGCGACTGTTCTCCATGGGTCACGAGGATGGTTCTTCGTGGTGTATTTTCAGTTCTGGCAGCTCTTGTATTTTCTCTATGTCCTGTATAGTCGATATGCCTCGTTCCTGTCGAGAAACAAACATTTACATTCGTCGAAACTAATCGTCCATTTTATCCTTAAAATACAATCGAATCTAGGGATATTATCGAAGAGCAGCGAACGGAATTTAAGAAGAGTTCAAGTTTAAGAAGAAAGAAGCAAAAATCTTTTTCAGCTCGATTCTTTTTTCAAATATTCGTGAAATTTGTGTTTTCTTTCTTTCGTTTGAAACATAATCGGATGTGACAAAATTCTTTTTCTTTTGGAACATAATCGAATCTAGGAAAACTTTCGAAAGAAGTTCAAGAAGGCGGGGTTCCTATCGAGAAGCAACCAAAAAATCTCCTTTGTCTCTATTTTCTTATAAAAATTAGTATTAGCGTTCTCATTTTATCTTTTATTAGAACAAACTTCTGGAAGACCAGCGAATGAAATCTAAGAAGAATTATAACAAGACGATCGAAGAAGCAAGTATGAGTGTCTGTAAGAATTCGAAAATTCGTAGTTCCTCACGTTGTATTCGTTCCATTTCTCGTAATTCTGTCTCATGTATCCCACCATCTCCGGCATGTCGATAAATGCTGGAAACAAAACAGCCTGTTACACGAACTGCATGATCGGATGGAAACTAGTAAAGACGCGTAGACGTTGCATCACTGACCATCCCACGCCTCGACCATGTCGTTGATAATGAAATCGACGAAACCGATCTGTGCTTTTGGTATCGAGCACGTGAGTCTGTCGAACATCGGCATCAGTACAGGCAGTTTCAGTTTCTTCTCTTCGTCAGTCTGCAATAAATCACGAGACGAATCAACAATCTTATGTCGGTGTCACGAATAATCTCGATACGTAAACTCAAGTGTACCTGAAAGCTCGAAAGAATTTTAAAAAAGAAGAAAAAAAAAATAACATCACTGTCTGAAGTTCAAGTGGATTGTTCGAGAAAAAAAAAGGGGGAAAAAAAAAATAGGAAAATAAATACAAAACTTAGCAAAGGAATTTTGAATTAAGAAATTTCTAAATAATCCCTGAGCGAGATGATAAATAATCTTTATTTTACCAAAGATAGGTACCTGATTAAAATACTCTTCCGCAATTCGTCTGGCCCATTCGATGCAGCACCTCAACGGCCTAGTCGGATTCGACACGTCCGCACACTTGATCATCATTCTTTTCACCAGTACCACGTTCTCTGGCTGTAACACAACTGACATATCCACGGTATCCGAGTAAGCCTGCACTCAGATTTTAGGGAGATTAATAGAACGTCCAATAAGGACTCATGGTACCTAATGTCAAGTAGAAATGACTTTGTAATAGATCCGTCGAACAGAACGGAAGAGGAGGAGGGACTGTGTATGAAAAATCTTTTGATAAATCTTTCGATGATCGATCGATTAGGGAGAATGCGAAGAAGATAAATGCAAATCAGGTATTACGTCTAATTGTTGGTTGTCCACGATCCTCGCGCTGCACACGTTCATAAACTTGGCCAAGTGCTCGAAATGTTTCGTCATCTCCGTGGCTAGGATCATGTCTATCACAGTCTGACGAAACTGTTTATAGGTCTCCCTCTCCAAATTCTGCAAAGTATCGTGTTTTCCACTTCAACTGATCCTTCGATGATAGTTTACGAAATTTTTATAAGTACCATTGGCTTTTTTCGAGACTCACTTTGAAGATATTGACGTTGTCGTCTGATAACGATAGCTTGAACGTTAGAGCTGCGTGGTGCGACTCCAGAACGGACAGGTCGTTGTAGAGGATAGCTAGCTTGTTGTCAGAGTTACAGAGAAATTGGCTGAAACGGACAACGAAAGGGATCGAGAGTGAAATCGTGTTTAACCTTGAAAAATCATCGTGAGTTAAATCGATCCAAGTAGACTCGATTTACCTGGATCTACCAGGATGATCGACGTCGTGAGCAGCAGCCGCAACCAAAGTCGCTACCTCGTCCAATGGTTCCAAGATCTGTTTCAGCCTTTCCGATTGCATGAATCTAGCTGTAGCTTGCAGCACATCTGCGGCATGCGTCGAATTGTGGTAGCTGTTCTGAGCCTGATAATTCATCTCGATCACGGTCAACCAGTTTTGTATGATTTTCTCTTCACAACTGAGCCTGGCTGGCACGCGATAAAGGTTCATGATGGTCATTCCCAAGAAGAGTAGCGGCCTACGATGAAATACCAAAGTACGTGTCCGATATGTAAATTTAATATTTAGTTGAAAAAAAAATTAGAAAATCTATAGAAAAGATATCAAAAATTATAAACTTCGTCGATGCTAAAATTCCGCTTCAGAATCTAGAGGTTTACCTTTTCTCCGTTAGAATTTCCAGTTTAAATATATCGAAATTCCATTCCAGGCATCTTTCCAGAATTTCCGCGATTTCTTGAGGACCCCTGAAACCTTTGATTCGCATGCGCGAACCGGAAACCCCGCTGAGTACTTTCGTAGGCGAGGCTCGCGCCGATTCTGCCGACGATCTTCTCGATTCCCATGTCTTCCTCGGTGACTGTTTATTTAAATCGTGAATTTCTTTAACCGTTTAAACTATAGTTTATGGAATATTTGAAAAATACAGATAGGATTAATTTTTTTCGACATTACAGCAAGCAATGCTCCGACGAGATCGGTCGCTACCGGATCGGTATCTTCTCTCAGAGATGGCACGTATAGTTCGGTGGTTTTGAGAATTTCGATTGCCTGGATGAGAATATATATCGCGTTAAAATAACGTTACAAGATAAAATCGATATGTATGAGAAGTTAGAGAACAGTAAATTGGTACCTTGTCGATGTGTGCTGCTGTCTCAGCCGTCGTGCACTCTGTGATCGCGTTAGAAAGAAGACTAATTACTTTTGTAATCGGTGCTTCCAATTGCAAACTGTGTAGCTTATGTAAACTGGATCGCCTGCGGCCTGCAATCGAATCGAAATTCAATCAAAATTGCTGACTTATTGTTCGGTGATTATCGAAAGAACATAATATCGCGAATCTTTGCTTATCGATTATTACGCGAATTTTAAAAATCTTTTTGCACTCTGTGTTTAATTATCTGATATCCTGATTTCTAACCTCGGTGTATATCAAAAAGTAGAAACCGGAATAAGTAGCTTCATTCCTTAGAATTTATTTGGAAAATGAGTAGTTTATTGTTTACCTTTTCTAATTTTATTTCTTAATTCTAAATTTCAAATTTTCGAGACAAACGCTAAGAGATCGTACATCATAAACGGCAAGATAGAAATTAAAATATCACCTTCGCTAGATGACTTTATATCAGACGCCCTCCTCTGAGATATGACAGTTGGCCTTGCAAAAGTGATTTGAGACGTACTCGGGCTTAATGAATCAATGTTTTCTGACAAATACGTTGTATCGTATATATAAATATAATGTGTCGGTTTTCTGAGAAAAGGAAGAAAAAGAAATAGAAAGAAAGGCAATGTTATTATTTTCCTTAGCGTTGAAAATCCAATTTGACTCACTTTAAACTAATACTGAAAGGTATCACCCTGCAGCTGATCGTGATCATTTGATTGTTCTTCCTTTTGCAGTTCATATTCCCCTCGAATTCCCGGCCTTTGCTTATGTGTTGCTCCATTAGAAGAAAATTATCGTAGAACACTATTTCCGCGATGGTTTTCCCCAAGATTTCGCTGGTCTTATAACCTAGTAATTTCTCGCTAATTTTATTAACAAACTGCAACGAGAAAAATGTATTATCCCGTGCATTACTACCGTGACATCGCGAATCTTGTACCAAACAATCTAATTTATCGAAATACAAAATTGAATTAAAAATAGTTAATCAAATTTAGCAATCGATTTCGCGGCGGACTATTTTTAGAATTTCAAAAATTACGAAAATATTTCGATAACAAATGATTAGAAGATCTAGGCGAGCACGTAGCGATTGGTACTTGAAATTGTAAACGATACCGTAATGACTCACGCGATATACCTGTACAATGTGTTTATCGTTCGTCACGTGTACCATGTCACGGCATCTGTCAAGAGCTAGATACAGCGCGTTGGCAGCTGCCAGTTGAGTCCTTGGTAAAAGCGCGCTGGCATAAATTCCCACTAGCTCGTTTATTAGGATTCTCTCGTGGGAGCATTCCATTAGAGCCTGAAACCAATCCCTCGATTAGTATATCAAAGGCACTTACAATGAAAAAGGAAAGAAAAGAAAAAAAGGAAAAAAAAAAGGCAGACTTTATCAAGCCTTTGAAATCAGAGTCTTCCAAAGGTACTCTAGAAACTCACACTGGTAAATCCTGTTTCCAGTAAATCCAATCCTACGATTTTATCTTTCTCGCCATGCATGAGGTACCTGTATCACAATTTCATAAAAGAAACTCAAAAATATTGCACGAAATAAAAACAAAGAAAAAAAAAATAAAATAAAATAAACGTAGATGTACTAAATCAACTTACGATTTCTTTACAAGAGCTATAATTACGGAATTATGATAAGCGGGACTAGACCTAATAGCTCTGAAACAGAAATACATGGTTCCTTGGAATTTTGAATTCCAATCTCTCCAAACTTCCTTCCAATATTTTTTTTTTTTTTTCTTTTTTTCTTCAAGTAATTCTCCATACCTACAAATCGTATTGGCCTCTGCAGCACGCTGTCCTCGGTGATCGATGATCACTAGCTCGTGACTTCGATTTTGGAAAAATTCCACCGCTTTTTCCGCGTCCTTCGCCACCGACACGCTCCACCCCAGTCGCCTCGAAGTGGTGGCGAGAATGTCCATTTGTTGGTCATCTTTAGGGAAGACCAGTAATATCTGACAAGTTCGACGAATTGTCTTTCGTGGTAAACAATAATTGCACCTTTTTCCCGATCGTAATCGGTAAATATAAACACGGCTATCTTATCTATCGGTTCGTTCAATTGCATCGATAGTAGTATCGAGAAGAAATCGACTTACTTTTACGAGACTAGGAACACTGTTGGTTAATGGATGAGCTTCGATATCTTGTGGTCCTTTCTGCAATACAAAAGCAAACGATAAATTTTCAGCTCTACCTGTATCGTTTTCCTTATTTTCTTTTTCATCTTTCAACCGTGGTTTATATGGTATATAAAGATTCGTTTCATAGGGCACGTACTACTATCACGGATTCGTTATGGAGGGATTCCGACTCGAGGTCTTGGAAAACCTTAGCTCGCCGTCGTGCACGCGGTGATTCTTTTACTTTTTCGCTTTCATCATGTTGACGTTGCGAGTTTTGCATTCGTACCCGACTACGTGTTTCTTGATCTTATACGACGTCGAATCCCGGGGTAACCTATACATGTTAGGGTCATGGCAAAGAGACAGACGAATCTAAAGTCGAAGCGTGACGGGGACAGGAAGATGAAGTTAGTTTTGTCGGGACAAACGTTTCGATTAGTCGATAGTTCGCATCGTTTTTCTACTTTTCAAAATTCCTTCTAATTATCCTCTTGCGCTATGATTTAATTCTGAAAAATTAATCTACCGAGCAAGTATTTAATTTTGGTCAGCACGAGAAAAAATAAAATTTTACGATTTCTTTGAATTTTCTATAATTAAAATATGTTAAATGCTGATAATTTTTATTTTCCACGAGGACTCGTGATAAGTTAGACTCGTTATTATACCGTAAAGGATTAATAATCTAGCTTGTTGGATCATAGAAAAAAGTTTTTTGCACACAGTTTTATCATTTTTTTTTTTCTTCAAATTTCTATCGATTAGGATTACTGGATCGTATGGAAGATATTTTCGTGTAGTTATTTTTACCATTCTACTTTCTGTTCAATTATTATTGAATAAATTGGTTGGCTCATACAAAATGGGAGTACTTTGAATTACTAAATTCCGGTATTCTGAGCGCATGAAACGTTCCAAGTACGAGATGCAGGATCGATCGTGCGGTACTGAAGAAATGATCTAGAATCATCTTCAGGATCGCTCGTCGTCCTATCTCGAACGCGGTGCATGCTTGCGCAATGATGAAAAACGAAGAAACATTCTGCAAAGATACTCCCACTGCACAGAAATTTGTACAGAAATTGTTGTAAATCGAAATTCAGTAGAAAATTCGATGGCAAGTAATTCAAGCTGTAAATAATTGTACACGTTCCAGTAATTGCAATAAAAGTTGTTCTTAGCCGATTGCATTATTTACTATTACCAGAGTACATATGCGTGTCAAAGATATAATGGAAAATTAAAAATTGGTACATCTGATGAGAAATTTCGAGAATTCGAAACACCACGTAATACAGTTCACTCGTTTCACGATACTTTTGACGATTACCTTTATGAAGAATTCTCGGTAATTATAATGGTTCGATAAAACTGTTTTCTGCAAAATGAAATACTCGGAAAGTGTTGCATGTTTCACGAATCGTAGTAATAATTTCTTCGAACTGATTTTCAAATTCTTAAAAAATTTACGAAAGGGTCAGGCAAAAGTGTTTTTATCATTCAACATGTTTCTAGGTGGATCAAGAGCAAATATAGGAGGAAATAATTAATTATTTATTACGATTAATCGAGCTATATTTTATACACGAATATTTCAAAATCGATCGATCATACATGGAGATTTATTTATATTTTACGAATAGTCCCTTGAAAGTTAGGCAGATAAAAATGTCTTTGGCGTTCGATATTTTTCTACATGGGTCGAAGCAAATAAACGAAGAAATAACTATTCACGACTATTAACGAAACCCCCAATTTCATAAATGAACATTAAAAAGATGGATCGATCATACCTGGATATTTATTTTACAAATGGTTTCTCAAAAATTAGATAGATCAAAGTACTTTTAACAAAACGATTTTACTATTCGATATTTTTTAGATGGATCACGAGCAAGCGAACGAAGAAATAATCAATTATTCTTATAATTCTATTTTATAAACGAATATTTAAAAACCAATCAACCCGTTGGTCGATCAATCCAAAAACCTTCTACACGGATACTCGTAGATAATGGTTGAAAAATTGGGCACATAGAGATATTTTCCCACACAAACTACGAACTATCAAGCAAGGAAATAACTAATTATTCGTCACGATTAACAAGATATTAAGAAAACCCTGTTTTACAAGCGGATATTTAAACGATCGTTCGATCGTGGACAAATGTTTCTTTTATTCAAACGTACGTTTAAAAATCGGTCGATGATAGATACTCGTCGTATAATTGATATTTATTTTATAGATGTACGTTTATTCAAAGTCGCTCGATAGATGGATATTAATATTTTCTAAAAGGAACGTTTCCATCGGCCGAAAGAAATTTCAATCATGTCTTACAGAGCTTTTCTGGTACCTGTTGTGTCGGCAACACACACGTCGTTGGTATTTCGTGTACGTATACTCTGTTCGCGTTCCATTTCTTTCGAATAGGTTCGCACAGTACGTGGAAGATCCAACTGTACCACGGTCTGTACGACGGTGGATCGCGGGTGCTCTCGTCATCCAACAAGTAAATGGGAGTAGCACCGATGTAGACCGACATCTGCGTCGAGCGCCTCTTGTACGCGTCTTCGTTCATCGGTACGATCATAATGGAGAATCGTTAATTGTCAGGAATGATCGCGAACGAGCCAGCACTCCCGATCGGATTCGATCAACACGCACACGATGAACGATAACTACGCATAATTAATCGTGCACGAATTAGGTCCGATTCGCAATTGATCGTTCATGATTTAGAAGATTGAGCCCGATTAACGACCGTTCCAGTTTACATTATCCATTAATTACGTTAATTAACGTCCACCTCGACCAAAGGGAGGAAAGATACGATGGCGCAACCAGGATATCGCGGTTATAGAGGAAGAACACGTGTTCGCGGAAAAACGACAGTTGCAATACTGAATCGAAGGTATCATAGTTGGCTATCCTTTCGGTGTCTATCAGGAACAGAAGCTCGTCTATCTACGATAAAGAAGTTCTTCTAAGACAATTAACGCGTGTTCGCTCGATTATAGATAGTGGGTTGTACAAATAGTCGATGATATCAGCTCGTCACTAGCGATTGATCATAAACAAACGATATCGTAATTTTTCTGCAACTATTGAAAAACGCATTGTTTCAATGACATAGTAATTTTCGTAATATCGCGATAAGATTTCCGCTAAAAGAATTCCTCTTTAGAAGACATTTGAAAAAAGCAGTTGGAGAACATAGGCGATTAAACGAGTAAAAGATATATTAGTCCCGCTGCAAAATATAATAATTATTGGAATACCTGTTTTTGTCGATATAAATATTATCATAGAGAGACAGGAATACAGAAACAGAAGCATAATCCACGAATATATGTACGAACAGGTGCCTATTTAAATAGTTAGGTGAAACAGGGGCAATACTCAAAGTATACAAAAAATCTCGCTAAAGATTTCAAGCAACTTCACGCAAGTTTTCAACCCGTTGGTTAATCGATACCGATAGATTTCTACCCGTAAATAATAAACTTTCCAGTGGAGGGGTATCGTGCGAGAAACTTCTGCACCTTATACTCGATTAATTATAAAACGTTAGAGCGTTTCGTTAGTACAGGCTGAAAAATATCGAGCGGTAGATTGAAAAGATAAAGATAGTAAAGATGGACGAGGCAGGAGGACATTAACATCCAGAATTTGCAAGAATCTATCTCCGAGAAGGGATCTATACCGATTCGAAAAGAATGTCAGCCTAACCAACGCCACCTTCATCAACCATCCCCCAGAGCTGTCAACCCGTGGTCTATCACAGACAGAAGAAATATTCTCAGGTACAACCTTTAGAAAATCACGATCTTCCATTGACGATTAGAGAAATTATATCTGTGTCACGAAGACTCCTGTGAAGAACGAAATTCCTCGAATCTTCCCACGACGAAATTGTGCAAGATAACAGTTCCAGACTCGTCGCTCGTCCGGCTTCTCCGGCTGCGCCCATGGTGTCTATAGACCGTCTATAGACAGGAGCCTATACACTGTCTATGGTCGATCTTCTAGCCAAGCAGTGGGAGAAGCTCGGACCTAGTGACGTGCATCGAGTATTTAAGAAGGAAGGAGAGAGGCAGAGAGTGAAACGAGGGTGACGGGAAAGTGAGCTGAACTAAGGCCTCATTAATAATCGCTTCGACAGGCGAGTTAAATATTCGTGACAGTTAGGTAGTATACTGGTAATCCTTTCTTTTGATCGCGCACCTCTTTGGAAAACTTCCATGGAAAATGTTTGATGCAAGTTTGATGAGACCGCGTGATACGCTGCGAACTGGCCACGTGTTTGCAAACAGTTCGTAATTACACGGTCAGAGAAAGGGTTAATTGCTGGTGCACGAATGAAATTTTTAAACGAAAGTTCGTAAGAAAAGAGAAGGCTGTTACGACATAGATCTGAAAGTTGATTGTCTTAAGTCCCTTTCCTGTAACTTTTTCTCTTTGCCCTATTTTGCTATATCACGTTCATACCTGAACTGAATTTCCTATTTCCTATTTCCCATTTCCTTTTCCCTTCTTATTTCCAGTACAAGCAGAGTTTTGAGACTTTGAGAAACGATTTTTTGGCGTTGATTAGAGATACGGTACGTGATCGGGATAGACTTATTACCGATTACCGTCAAGGATTTACCTCTCGAGTGATAGATTTTACGAGTAGCGAGGGGTACTATCTATACCTCGATAATCAGCATTACTATCTCTTGAATCACGATTGCCGAAAGTAGTAAGATAGATAAACGAAGAAAGTCGTCTATTAATTAGATTTTTAATTACTCGTTCAATTAAAGTACCGAAGATAATGTTAACTCTCCCTCTGAAAGAGTTTAGCTCTAGAGGAAAATAAAATGTAGGACGACATAAATAAATAGAAGTAACTAAATAATATTGGAATAATTAGATTTTAATATACAGATAGATCTAGCAAACGCACAATAAGAAAAATCAGAGGCGAAATAACTTTGGGGATTTACTAGGTTAAAGGTATTATAGGGATATGTAGACTAAATTAAAGGAGACAATTTAAAAGAATATAATATAGGGATATGTAGACTAAATTAAAGGATACAATTTAAAAGAATATAACTAAGGCATGCAGAGAAGAAAAGGGTGCAGGTGAAAAAAGGACAGAGTTCAGGAACATACCAAGGACATAAATTGATAGCTGTATGTAGCGTATTGAAAGTAGGTTAAAGCACAGTTACGATAAATAGAACGTAACATAGGAAGCATTATTAATGAAATAGACGTAGGCAAATGGGATAAAAATTATAGGAAAAGATAATCAACTGAAAAACACGATAGAATTAATAATACAATTAACCTTGGTAGAATCAGGTATCTCAGCATTGAATTAAACATTTACCGACATTCCATCGAATAAAATAGGTCTTGTAAATATAATTGCAGCAACTATGTCGCGTGAGACACAACGAGACATAGCGAGATATATATCACGCAGATTCAATTGTTTCTTAATCGCTAAGAAAAATTTCAAGTGGGACATTGCTCGTTAGCTGTTATCTCTGCTTAGATCCACGAGAATCGAGATTATCGATACGACTTGATACGTGAAACGTCATTTATCGTGCAAGCGTTGCATATCCGATAAGCACGGTGGACTTTTGCGTCAAGAACATTGACATTTTTAACGTCGCCGAGGTGACAAACAATGGGGGAATATTTATATCGCATTTTCGGTAAACGTATTATCTAACGTTGTACGTCAACGTTCTCAAAGTAGCGGTAACGATAACAGAAATTTACTTACTAACGTTGAGTAATCTGCATTCTCGTCGTCGGCCGCGATGTCCTCGAACGACGATTTTCTTCTCAAAATATCGTACTCTGTTTTCCCTGGAAGACAAATAGATAGTTACACGATATGTTATCTTTAAAATTAAAAGAAAGGAAAAAAAAAAATAGAGAAAAACGTGAAAATCTATCAACGGAGTTAATATCAGGCAATAGATACTTCTACATTGCTACGAGCCAGGCGTATTGCGATTACGAGGCTTTCTCGAATCGATTTATTAGTCGAGTGATTAGTCAGTATCTCGGTAATAAACGAGACTCGTTTAAGAATCTGATTACCAAAGAATTGCCACTAGAAAATTCTGGGTCAATAGATCAATGGATCAATGGTTAAATCGGTGGTTAAAAGTAGATTGCAAAACTAATCGTTCGCCTTTGATCTTCGATATCGAATGAATTTATTCTATCGATTCCTTCAATGTCATCGCGAAAAGATAGATAGAGATCAATATTTTTATTCCTCTATATACATATTCCTATACTCTTCGCTGTTTTTCACCAATATTTTACGAATGAATCATGGGGAATTTCGAGTAATAATAGATACCGATGATGGAAAAAGTGGCTAACGATAAAAGTGAGATAGTGATAAATAATCGGTAAAATATCGAGTCAATTTTGATAATGGTTAAATATTTGTCAGTTTTTAGTTGAATCGGTTAATTAACGTTGACAGATTCCAGCGTGTGATCTTATAAAAACGCATAAATCGAGAGGGTGTGTGTGAATGAGGTCGCACATAAACCTTATCTTCACCTTTTATGGCAGGATCATTCAGCATTTATCGTTCGATTCGAATGGATCAGGAGTTTAAAGATAATTGATCGAAAGTAGGGCACCTTAATTGGACATCGCGAGCAACAAGTTAGTAGGGACAAAACAAGCGCAGAGTATTCCTTAGAGGATTGTGTATTATTTATACTTTCTTCGTCGGCAATTGGAATTCTCGAATACACGGTTATTAACGAAATTTATCACCAGTTCCTACCCTTCCGTTGATTCGCGAGATGAGCAATTTCGAATTAAAAATTGAAATATTTCAAATGAAATCCTTTTATGGAGATTTTATTAGATTCGGGAATACGAGATTGGATTAAATAAAATTTTTTTATCGAGAAAATTAAGGAAGAATATATACAATAATTTATAAAATAAATCAATTCGAATCCAGAAACAAAATATTTAAGAAAATTTTGTTCAATTCAAAAATGAAACGAATACGAATCTTTTTATCAAAGAAAACTTCTCCGAACTCAGAAATGAACCACTTAAAGTATCATTTTTATAGAAACCATCGTAAAAGGAAATATTTTGTCTAGAAAAATAAATGACCAGGGAATTTTAATTCTACTAGTGTCTATCTATTTTTTGGTTTGCGAGACGAGCAATTTCAAATTAAAAATTGAAATATTTGAAATAAAATCCTTTTATGGAGAAGATTCTATTAAGTTCGAGAATACGAGATTGGATTAAATGAAATTTTTTCGTCGAGAAAATTAAGCAAAAATAAATATAATAGTTTCATAAAATAAATCGATTCGAATCCAGAATCAAAATATTTAAGAAAATCCTTTTGAATTTAAAAATTAAACAATTTATTAAAAAAGATTTCTCCGAACTCAAAAATGAAATACTTCAAGTGTCACTTTTATAGAAACTATCGTAGAAGGAAATATATTTAGAATAAATAAATATCCTAGTTTCTTGACTCATTTTGGAGAATTTTAATTCTACCGGTTTCTATCTATCCGTTGATTCGCGAGAGGAGCAATTTTGAATTTAAATATTTGAAATATTTGAAATAAAATCCTTTTAGATTCGATAATACGAAGTTTGATAAAATGAATTTTCATCGAGAAAATTAAGAAAGAATAAATAAAATAGTTTCGTAAAATAAATCGATTTGAATCCAGAATCAAAATATTTAAGCAAAATTCTTTCGAATCGGAAAATTCTTTTGAATTTAAAAATGAAAAGCAATGCAAATCTTTTTAATACAAAAATTTTTCCCAATTCAGAAATGAAATATTTAATGTATCCCTTTTTCTTTTTCTTTTTCTTTTTTTTTAATGAAAATTATAGAAACTAATATGAAAAGGAATATTTTGACTAGGAGAATGAAACAGAAAAATAAAAAATAACCTAGTTTCTTAACTAGTTTTGAGGAATTTTAATATTTTCGATTATAGTTGCTCGAATTAATCACCAATTTCGCTCCTTTCAATGCTCATTACAATAATCTAATTTTATCTTTTTCTACAAAAAGGAATGACATGTACATTATACTATGAGAATCTTAAAATAGTCGATAAATTTGATAAGCGGCAATTATACAATTTTTTACTGTTACTAAAAAGGATTCAACCATATTTTTCAATATGAAATAGTGCCCGTTCATACGATTACATACCGTTGCTAAGTAACGTATCATCCAGTACATCCTGTTCTTCATTTGGAAAAAAATAATTGTTCGGAGTAGCTGCCATATGAATTTATGAACTATTGATCACAGTATCGCGTGACTGTCCATTCAAGCATCCGAACAAGAATCCTGATACCAGAATCCTAGTTGATTAATTGTCAAATGCAAATCAATGATCGATACATGTCCAAGAAGTACACCATTCAAACGACTTCCTAGAATTCAGTTTCAAAAATCCAGTTTCAAATTAGAAATAACTGATTCAATTATATCACGAGTCCATCCAGTTACACCATATTTACAAAAATCCAATCAACTGTTTTGTCAATTCATCACAGTCACCAATAAAGTCCAACAATATATTTTATCAAATGAATTTTCTCCAAGTGTAGAAAAAGCTTCGATGACAGTAGAAAGCAAAACTGAAAAACGTGGAAATCGGTACACTCTGCCAAATTCTTAGCGACCTCCGATATCCTCCAATCCTTGCAAATGTATTGTCCATGTCCACCTACTACGCGTGATTCACTTTCAAAACCAAAAAAAGAAAACGAAAATTAAAAAAAGACGTTCGTAAAATTTGACTATGTGAAATCTAACTTTGCAAAATGTGCACCTGTTTAAAATTCAACTTTTGAAAATTCACCTTTTCAAAATTTAATTTTTTAAAATTCACCTTTTCAAAATTTAACTTCGTAGAATTCACCTTTTTACGATTGAACCGCGTAAAATTTAACTTTCCAAAATTTGCCTTCGTAAAATTCAACTTTTTCGAATTTTCCACTCCGTTCGAAAGACGAAAATCACGGAATAGAATGGAGAATAAAAAGTTGAGAAATATGGAAAATCGGTACACGTATGGCGAACGATGCGTTGTAAACGGCTCAAAGGCAACGACTGGCAGACAGAACCAAATTGTGCAGGTTAAAATTCTACGCGTGAGTGAGTGGTCCCAGGAACGAGATAGGGTCGTCGGAGAAACTCACGTACAATAGCAGTACGCTCGTTAAACACGAGCAGGCTCAAAGGAACACGGCAGAGCGAATAAAATTTCGCAATTAGAAGCCCTCGTTACTCCGTTTTCGGGAGAAGAGCTTCGAGTAATGGCCGAGTTCGAATGAGGCGTTAACCCTGGCGCTCCTAGTAACTAAAGGTAGAGTGTTCTAGTGACTAAACCGGTGTTCTAGTAAATCGGAAAGTTATCATCTCGTCGGGGCAGACTCGACGAGAACACCACTGGTGTTGTAATGGCAATTTAATGGCACTTTTCTTTGGCTGTTGAAGATATTTGCTTGACGTGTGCCTGCTGTTTATTAATTTATTGAATTTGAACGTTGTCCAAATTAGTTTCCCTTCTTGATAATCGCAGTGTGGTGGAAAAGTTGTGCAGTCTTGTTCATTCTGTAAAATGGAGCTTGTAGAGTAATTGAGATTAATGGAAGCTATGTCTGGTACATGTTTGTGGTCGAATTTGTTCGCTAATTGGACTGCTCACGCATAGAAATGAAGATGATATTTGTTGTTTTGATATCGATGAACGTGAAAATTTCACGGTCTGTTATAGTTTCAACGAACTTGCTAAAGAATTACAGGCACATTCCATACTCTTTTAATAGAAATCCCTAAGGGCCACGAGATCGTACGATGAAATTTGCGTTTAAATAAAAATTCACGTTTAAAAAGGCATCGTAAAGACGCAAAGAATTCGAGAAATAGCCGTAACATAAATGAAATATTTTTCGACTACAATAGTCACAGATATTCAATCTAATAAAATGTCATCTAATTTCTTTCTTTTACGTTAAACGAGTGCATCGTGGTTCTAATCTGAAATGCTTCGATATGAATATACTTAGATTGCTCTGAAACTGTGAATAGAGAATTATTGTAAGATAGAATGCTCTGAGTGGAATACGAGATATAAGCTTCAAAAGTTCATGGCTACTTCAGCTTTCAGATGAAAGGAGATGAAAAATTGGGAACTGACGTCTCCTCTCTTGAGACTCCTCTGCCAATTCCACGAAAATCATCCGTTTAACTGGTCACTGTCTTATCTTGGGTTTTCATATCACCTTGTTTGAGCAATTTTTACTATTATTACAATTTTCACAACGTCCAAAATGGCACTAAAATGTCACGACGTGTGTCCTCCGATAGCTCGAAAGCTTTAATTCCTTGTTTGTTATTGAGTTCGAATGACAGCATCCGAATAACGAATAACACGTAGCTAATTTGCTTGCACGTTTGCGAAGGTTCGAATGGAATTGCCATCCGGCATTATCTGTGTCTGATTTGCATTCGTAACCATCGACCCAAATATGTGTGGCTCCTTATCAAAGAATCAATATAGCGTTTCGACATAGTATCCTTGTGCCTGTGCCATCGAGCTTCTTGCTTACAAACAACCAAAGCTACTTGTTCTGCACGAGGGTTATTTAAATGAGTTTTAATGAGAGAGAGAGAGTGAATGTCTAATGTGCCACCTATATTTTTCAATAGAAGCTAAAGTAAATAAGAGTTGGGACAGATATATGAATTAGATGCTATTTGATGATACGGATAAATATATTGCCACAGATGTAGATATTAAATAGGTTTTGGAATTTTTTTTTTTTTTTTTTTTTTTTT